TGTACTATTTTCAATTAAATATAGGGTTTAAATATTTTGCACAATTGCATTTTGTTTTTATTTACATTTTGCACAGTGTCCCAACTTTTTTGGAAATGGGGTTGTATTTGAAAATATATATACATATGTGTTCTGTACATATAGGTAAGTATCAAATATTGGATATATTTGCTTAATATCACATAAATATATGTCTGATAGGTGAATGAACACATATGTATAATATCCAAAGCCACAGTGTTACTATGTTGTTTGCCTTTAAATATTAAATTGTTTAAATGTTTCAGTGAACAATATTTTCAATTATTTCATGTTTTAATGATTTTATTGCATTTTGTACTTTCACTTCATTAAAAAGTATCTGGAAGAAACAAAGAAGACACGTCTCTAAGTATTCTTATTATAAAATGTATGGTAAAAAACTAAATGTTCAATTTCACATTTGTTGAGCTATTATACATATTCATATGTATACAGACTTATGGACAAGCCTGGACATTGGTATGGCAACATGCTAGCATATATGAGTAATGTGTATTATCCACATATGAATAATGTTTTCTTTCATATATTGTTAAATATATGATATTTGGCTCAATGTGTCCCATATTTGAAAATGGGCAATTTTAAATAAGTTGGCACATGTTTCACATATATGTCCATACGTGACAAATATACGTTGGATATAAGGGGAAAGCTATATATGCTAACGTATGTCATATATTTGAAACACATACACCGATCAGGCATATCTTTCTATGATCTACGCTTGTTGTCCATTTTATCAGCTCCACTTACTATATAGGTGCACTTTGTAGTTCTACAGTTACAGACTGTAGTCCATCTGTTTCTCTGATACTTTGTTAGCCCCCTTTTACCCTGTTCTTCAGTGGTCAGGACCCCCATGGACCCTCACAGAGCAGGTACTATTTGGGTGGTGGATTATTCTCAGCACTGCAGTAACACTGATGTGGTGGTGGTGTGTTAGTGTGTGTTGTGCTGGTCTGAGTGGATCAGACAGAGTTTATAGATTATAGGTTTTAGATTTTATAATATTTATTCAGCATGTTTTCTTTATGTCATTTAAATCATATATTCCATTGTCATGTATAGATTATTGCAGTTAAAATTGCAGAAAAATGTTTTTTACCTCAAAATATGACACCCTTTACACACGACTGTGAGGACGAGCTCTTCTGTGGTGCTTGGAATTCTATATGATTGATTTAAAAACCAGTATTGCTAAATTGACGGATCAAGAAGGTGTAATTGTTAAAATAACATTGTTTTATTTTAATATATAAATAAATTGAAAGCCTAACATGTTTTTCCATGTATCTGTAAATGCTAGGGTCGTTTCTGCAGAATGACCCGTATGTGAAGGAAGCCCACAGTGAACGTTGATGAAACTGTTCTTGGTGAACTGCAGTAACCTTGTCATTTTATCCTGTTTCTCAGGCAAAGGGGGAGGGATTTAGCACAAGCCTTCAGTCCAACAGTCTTAAAGAACACAAACACCCGCCTTTACTCGCAGCTTTCTGATCTGAATAGCCGGGTCGATGTTTTATTGGCTGCTTGGAGCAATTTTACGCGCGTTTTAACGCGTTCTTTAAGCCGAACGAGGCCTGCCTTTCCCTGCTGCTCTCTCTCCCTTCTGCCCGTCGAACAAAGATAATTTACTGAGGAAGCGGCTCGGCCAATCAGCGGCGGCCTAACAAGCCGCCAGTGGGAGAGCAGCCAATCGCGGCGCGTCTCTGATCCCACACGCACAAGGCCCAGAGCGCAGAGAGTGTGGAGAGGCCGGCCCTGCCTTGTCTAAAGGCTGAGACTGTCCTCCATGTTTTCCTAAGTAGTGACATTACACTTTTTCAGCCATGCATCCGCAGAGGTAAGCCTTCTGTTTTATTACCATCTTTGTTGTTCTTTCACTTACATATGTTCACCGTTCATTTTGCAGTTTTTCTTCCTTTCTCTTTGGAGTCTACAGCAAAGGCCTAACAGAAGGCCTCTCTCTCTCTCTCTCCACACTGAAAAACAGGGGGAGGGAGGAGGAGGAGGAGGAGGAGGAGGAGGAGGCCTGAGGAGGGAGAGCAGGCTTTCCTCTCTCCTCTGTTTCTCACTCCTGAGCTTTGGCCTGGGCTCGTCACATGACTGCAAAGCAAACTCAGTCAGCCATTACTCACTGATGAAGTGGCAAACAGATATCTTGACAAAATGTTGCCTTCTTCCAGGAGCCTGGGCTGGAGTGGGAGCAAGGCCCTGTTTTTGCCCTTTTGCCCACCCTTCATGCATGCAGGGAAAGAAGAGGATAGTAAGCTGGGGGAGGGGGTTCCTGGATGGTGTCCCTCCTTTGTGAGCTGACTGCCTGATCCATTGTCTGCTTGTGTGTCACTGAGCCTGGCAGAGAAAATGGTGGCAGAAGCAGGAATTAGTGCCCATGGGAGCGCAGAAACAAGGCAGCCCTGTGTGTGTGTGTATATACATACATAGGATCCACATATATATATACTATATCGCTGTTGTCGGTAGAAAAACTCATTTCTCCATTTTTGACATTTTTCAGTTTTTGACATAATTTGAAAATGCTTGTTGCCCTTTACACTGTGTGTAAATTTCATGATGAATGGACTAAAAGAAATGACCCAAAATGGCTTGGAGATAAAGTCTGGTTCCATTGACTTACATTAAAAGTAGAGTAGGTTTTTCCTCCTCCTGTAAAGTTACCATTTTGGAAAGAGGAGGTTTTCTTCCAACAACAGCCATATACTAGATAACTGTCAAACACAGAGCTCCTTACATTAAGCTTAACATGTTTTTGGCACATGCTTTTTACAGGCTAACATTGGAAGCAACAATTACACAGTCTTCTAGCTTTGTTTTTATTTGACGAGGAAGTGACTTATCTGAGAGAATCGGGTACATTTGCATGACCTGTCATGTCATAACTCTGTGTGCTAGGAATCTGGAGGCACCACTACCACATACTATTTTATTGGAGAATAGCTGTGTTGAGAATCTGATAGTTTTCCATTGACTACTGAGGAGTAGAAATGTGCTTTGCTGCACAAGATCAGCTGTAGTTTTGGGTTTTTTTGGCTTTTAAAGGTAGGGCACACAATGAAACATCCCCTCTGTTTTCAGTTTCAGTAGCATATCGCTGCTGTCGGAAGAAAACCTCATATCTCCAAAAATAAGAACTTTACAGGAGAAGGAAAAAACCTACTTTGCTTTTAATGTAAGTCAATGGAACCAGACTTTTCTCCAAGTCGTTTTGGGCCGTTTATTTTGGTCCATTATTAATGAAATTTACACACAATGTAAAGGACAGCAGGTATTTTCACATTCTGTCAAATACAAGGTTTTCTTGCGACAGCAGCGACATGGCCATATGGTAATATTGCCTTCTTTCTCGTCCGACTGCTGCATGTTGGTTCACAGTGTGTATAGGGAGAGACAGCTTTGTGCTCCCTAGTTCCAAACACATTGCTACTATTACACCACTAACCTGCCTCTGTTATGTTATTCTTTATTTGTGCATGATCAGGATTCTTCTTATTGTTTATACAGAAGCAGTCGGTCATTTTTAGGTTGTTTTTGACTAGATATTCCAGGTTCCGTGGAGGAGAAAGCAGTTAGGAGACTTGCACTGATCTTGAGTGATAACAGAGCAGTCAGGCGGATGAAGACAAAGGAGTTCAAACCACAAAACCTCGCGTTCTTGTTCAAAGTACCCCCTTTGTTCTTTTTCGCTACGACACTGATACTAGAGAAATCTGAAAATATCAGGAAGGAAGATAAATTTAAACCACATGACCCATTTGATTATGTGGATCAGCTTAAAATGAACCTGACATTTATGTGGCAAAAAAGTCTGAACAGAATTACTGTTCTTTCGCTTCCACGTAGATTTGGTGCGTTTTTGTTGTGGTATTAATGTGAAAGAGTGAGTGATAAGCAGGGAGTAGTGTGACACTAATCAGCCAGCCAATCAGATGGTCTTATGCGAGTGTCTCAGCCAATAGGAGAGACAGTCGCAGTCTGCCCAGCGAGAAAGAAGGGCCTGTTCTGGAACATTTCACAACCGTCTTTGATTCAGATGGTAAAGGTCATCAGCTTTGTTCATTAAGGAGAGGTATGATCATACATTTGTGGTTAAAAAGAATACACTGATAACCTGGGGGGGGTTTAGTGCAAGCTATTCTTTGCTTCATACAAATTTGCCAAAAATGCAAACTGTTGCATATACACATGAAATGAGGTCTCAGTAGCACTGCTTGGGACAAGAGCTGTTGCAATTCATGCCTTTCTTGAGGAAACCGCATCTGAGGATTTTAGGATTTTAGTGCTTTTGTCTTTAAAGGAACCCAATGCATGTGAGGTTACAGAGCCTGTATGTTCAGTTTATATCAGAATAATGTGTCAGAAGCTTGTTGTATTGATTTATTAGCTATATATTTACCAAGATCTCGTCTGTTTCTGTTCAGACGTTGGGCTGCTGTGAACGTTGGCTTCAGAACCTTCATTGTGAGAGCTCTTAAGAGGCTCTTTTGAGGTTCTGGTTCATGCAAGCGCCGAAAGATTTGCTCCTCGCCGCGTCGCACTTACTTACGTTTGGTGTTGCTCTTGAGACTGACCTATATTGACTGCTTCTCGCTCACTCTCCCTGTTTACTGTAAAGCTCCTGTGGCGTGGACGTGCCAGATCAGGCCTAGAGGGAGGGGGGTGGGGATGTTCGGCAGAGCGGTGGGGGAGGGGAAGCAGCCGCCATTCTCATTTCCTGTGAGGAGAGAGAGAGAGAGAGAGACACAGAAAGAGAGAGACAGAGAGAGAGGAAAAAAAGAGACCTCGGCTCACTCACTCTGTCCAGTTATCTCCACATTCACAGCCGCCTTTCTCTCCATTTCTTCTCTGCTAAGGGCCCTCAGATTGGATGGCCTTTGTTGGCAGTGAGAGCAGTCGATCGCCTCCTTAGAACGTTCTAGAAGATCTTACCCTGGTTGCATCTTTTTTTGTGTGTGTTCCATTTGGCGGAGCTCAATTGTGGTGCCACGTCCTTTAGCAGCCTGTGGATCACTTCCAGGATTGTATGTGTTGTTTTTGATTGACAGACATCCTCGTCTAGATCCTCCTCTACCAAAAAAAAAAAAAACCTGACAGCTTGGATTCTGTGACCACACCACACCTTTCTCACGCAGGGTGAGAAATCCTGATGAACGGGGTTGTGTTTGCATGCAGGAGCCGAGGCCCACATGTGAAATCCTGATGGCGCTGCTGCCAGAGTCACTGTAGACCAGAGGGGAAAGCCCCCCAGGACTGCCAAGATATGACTTTTTCACTCCCAGGCATTTCCAAAACACATTTTGTGGCAGTCCCTCACTACACCAACTACACCAACAAAACTGCACCTTATTGATAGATTTGTGCTTGGTAGAGCGCTTAACACAAGAGCTGGACTGTTGAGGCCTACCTGATATCAGGTGAGTTCTTCTTCTTGGCATGGATAATGTGTTGTGGCCTTTTTTCACGGTGACCTTCTACACCTTTTTAGCCTGATTTGCCTCGTCAACCTGGGTGACCTTCTCCACTGGTCTATTGTCTACAGTTGCATGGATGGTGATTTGAGGTGCTTGACTGTTCTAATGTTAAATCCCATTGAATGTTTTGGTCACGTCTTACTTTGTTTCAGTGTTAAAAGACCCACTATCTCATTCTTGAGTCAGCAGGATGTTATTTTTTCAAGAATCAGCCTTGCTTTTGTCTGCCATTGTCCTCACTATCACCTTTTCAGATATTCAGCGCAAATAAAGGAGGGAATCATCGGATATTGGATCCACTTTCAGTTAAACTGATGGGAGGCAGAGGAGAAGGACATGCAGTGGTGTTGTGGGCAAGAGCCTCAGGCCTTCTAGGCCTGGTTCAGTCCCCTCGTACCCCTCCTGCTACCTTCACCATGCTAAGGAACCATTTATTTCTTTGTCTTCTGTTCTTCCCCTCCTTCAGTTGTTAAGCTGGTATTTTTGAACTGACCTTCCTGGACCTTCTTGCCGGTGGCTGAATGAGGCCTTAGCTGCAAGTCGTGTTCCTATTGTGGTCTGACGAGACGAGCAAGGATTGACCCCTCAAAGAGCATCTGCTACAACACCAACACCCCTCTTTTTCGCTTGCCTTTTCAGAGAAAGAACAGGGCGTGAATTCTAGGGGGGTGATTACGCTTTGTGCAGACTGCAACCCCCCAAAAAGTTCTCTGGCTTGGACATACGGTTCTAGGGAAATCCGTTTATTTGGTACAGAACCTTTACGTTATGTGAAGGTTCTTATGGATGTCAGAAAGGTTCTTCTTACATCTCATTTACAAAAATGTTTATAAAAAAAAAAGAACATGGTTTCTTTTCCTCACCACGCCAAAGAACCTTTGTGCTTTTGCATATGGACGGTTAAACTGAAGACAGGTTTTCCGTTGTGGGTTTTATGTGTGTGGTGTATTGTTAATGTGTATATGTGTGCGTATGTATGTGTGTGTGTGCATGCATATATATATATATATACACAACGTATATGTGTGTGTGTGTGTATATATATATATATGTGTATATATATATATTTCACACTAACTCATACATGTATACATATATACATATGTGTATATATTGCTGTTGTTGGAACAAAACCTCGTATCTCCAAAATGAAAACTTTACAGGAGAAGGAAAAAACCTACTGTACTTTTAATGTAAGTCAATGGAACCAGAATTTTCTTTTAGTCCGTTCATCATGAAATTTACATACAATGTAAAGGACAACAGGCATTTTCAAATTATGTCAAAAAAACTGAAAAACGTTAAAAATGGAGATACAAGGTTTTCTTCCAACAACAGGGATTGACACTATATATATATATATATATATATATATATATATATATATATATATATATATATATATATATATATATATATATATATAGTGCGTATGGATGGGAAAGCTGCAGATGAATTGATGATCCCAGTTATTCCAAAAGCGACTGGCAGTGGCTGAAGGTATTGAATCTTTATCCTATCTGAATTAAGAGGCCTCTATTAAGTAATAGTTGAACCCTCTTAGTGGTGGTTAATCTAATGGGACTAACCTGTTGATGAGCAGTCTGCAGCGCTGGCCCAGTTGGCTAGGAGACGTTTCATCTCTTGTGACTGGCCTTGCTCGGAGGGGTAATCCTCATGAAATTGCCTGGCCCAGTTGAGACGAGGACTAGTCACCAGGGAGATGCTCTTATTTTGTTGCTGTCCAGAACATCAGCACTATATCTGTAATAATACTTTAAAGAACAAGAAGGCCCTGAAACATTGTGACATCCGTCGTGGCACGTCAGGTTTTATGACACCATTTTGAGCACCATTTTCTCACTAATTGTGAGATGGAATGGTGAGTTGTTGCCGTAAACAACAACAAAACTTGATTTGATTGCATCACCTCAGGTTTCTATCTCAGGAGCAAACCTTTTGAGACTCCCACTGTCTTTCTCACATTTTTTTTGGTCTTGTCTTCTCTCTCTCTCTCTCTCTCTCTCTCTCTCTCTCTCTCTCTCTCTCTCTCTCTCTCTCTCTCCACACTGTCTTGCCTTACATTAGTTTGGCTGAGGACGAGATCAAGACAGAATCTGATGCGGTTGAAGGGATGGAGGTATCAGCACCTAAAGGTAAGCATTTGCACAACTCTGACAGGCTTTTAGTTTAACGGCATGTCATTTTCCTCATTTTCCCTATTTGCTGTTGAATGCAGAGGAGAAATGGGTTGTAGTTTTGCATGGTAGAGCTGTTTTGCAGTGTACAGCAGCGAAACCTTCCTTAAATAGATATAACCTGAGTGGAGACAAGATCTCTTCCATTGAATTATGAGTCAGAATCTGCAAAGGTCATTCACTCAGGCCTGGGTGGTGTTTCCTCTGTCTGTGTAGGTTGTCAGTTTTCATGCAGTGTAATAAGGTTTCATTCATTCTGCTCAGTTCCTGATCTAGGGTCAGCAGAAGCAGCGCTCTCCGCTCAGAAGCGGAAAGCACCCAGTCCGCCTCACTCCTCTAATGGGCATTCACCTTCTGACACGTCTCCCACCGCCGCCAAGAAGAAGAAGAAACCTGGATTAGTCACCAACAGCAATAAAGATCAGGTAGATGCCGCTCAGTGTCAGCCTCTGTGGCATCTAACGTGAGAAAATTAAAGGTGTGATCAATGAATAATGAATTTTGGTGCAGTGTCAGTAAGGTAACTCTCCTGAATTCATTTATGCATCTTGAGAAGCATTTCTTCCACCCAGAAAATCATCGCCTGTGAGATTTTAATTACTTTTAAACCTCTCATGAAACCTGTTTGGAATATCGTAGTTTGATTGTGGATTGTCAAAGTTCTGCTGTTGATTTTGTTGATTGGATTGGAATTTAGCCATGTATTATCTACTGTCCTTGCAGGAGATAAGTGTGAGTATTACCACTGCTGGGCTTGAATGAATGCTCTGTACTGCAGTATTTGTGCTGTGTTGGTGTGCTGTTGGTAACCAAACACAGAACTGCAGTTTGAGCCAAGTGTGAGGCACATTGTTCGTTTAAAATTGTGTTTTTGCAAGTAAAAACGACATATATAATATTCGTAAGTGCATATAACCACAGTTAACACAGGGCTGCCATGAGGAGAGGTTTAGAAATGGTTAAATGAACACTGTGACGTAAATAAAATCGCTGCTTATTGTATTCATATTATTTGTATTTGTTTTAATATTGGTGTTTTTTCAGAGCAAATAATACTTACTTCCCAGATAAATAGCTTTTTCATTTCATTTTTTAAGTGCATAAAACGTGCACAGTACTGTGTATATAGTAAAATATAATGTTGCACCTCTTCAAGGACTTTTGTTCCACGCTTAATTCTAGTTTGCATGGATGCGCAGTGATATCGGAATCATCGGAATCTGCAGACATTTGCTTTAAAAACAAATATCTGAATCTGAAAGATGTTTACATTTGACCGATATTTCAAACTGATGTTTGATGACACATTTATTGAGCAGAATGTTCTGGTGGTACTGGGTTATGACGCTAAAACATCAGCATTTTATTGATTTTGTTGCATATCGCTGCTGTCAGAGAAAACCTTGTGTCTCTATTTTTGTTGTTTTTTCAGTTTTTGGCATAATTTGAAAATACCTGTTACCCTTTACATTGTGTGTAAATTTCATGATGAATGGACCAAAATAAATGTCCCAAAATGACTTGGAAAAATTCTGGTTCCATTGACTTACATTAAAAGTGATGTAGGTTTTTCCCTTCTCCTGTAAAGTTTTCATTTCAGAGATAAGGGGTTTTCTTCTGACAGCAGCGATACGTAACCAGATAGAAATCAATGGTAAATTCCCCTTTGGTGCTACTCCAGCTGCCATTTCTACACTTTCCAAACGTTTGTGTTGGCGTCAGTGTTATCATTGGCTGGAGACATACATGAAAAATATCCAATATCAGCATCTGACCATAATTCCCGTATCAGTGCGTCCTTACTAGTTTGCAAAGTTTTCCTATTCTCAGATTAGTGATAAGCGTAGTGATAATTTTGACCCTGTGCTTGTAAATCTGCATCTGTGTTTGGTATCTGTGGCTTTATAAAGGCGCAGCCAACCCTCCTCCTGGAGAGGCAGATTTGGGAATCTGGCATAATTAACGCTTGCCTCATCACAGTTTTTCTGAAGGGCTTGAGCAAAATCCTGCAGTCCATCTTTCCAGCATGAGGGTTACCTCCCACTGCTTTTGGTCCACCATCTGTAGTGACTGCCTGTGTCTGTGCTTTGACTTTTTGCAGAGCCTTGCTACTTCTCTCCCCTGCAGTGTTGTGCCGTGTGTTTTGACCCCTGCCCCTGTCTCTCTTGCCTGCGTTTCAGTGTGAGCTAAGACATGGTCCATTTTACTATGTCAAGCAGCCAGCACTCACCACAGACCCTGTTGATGTTGTGCCACAGGATGGGAGGAACGACTTCTACTGCTGGGTGTGCCACCGCGAGGGCCAGGTGCTCTGCTGTGAGCTCTGCCCGCGCGTCTACCACGCCAAGTGCCTCAAACTGGCCGCCGAGCCCGAAGGCGACTGGTTCTGTCCTGAGTGCGAGGTACCCAGTGGAAAAGTGAGAGCGTAGGGGTTAGGAGTGGTAGCATGCATTTGTGTTGAAGCTACAAACGCCATAATGTTTGCTCACTACAACACCTTTGCTGAGTGTGAATCTCAAGGCATGTCAAGACAAGCTGTGTTCCAGTGCTCTGACTAGCCGTACTATGGCGAGCCTTTGTGGTTCCTCATTGGATCATTGCCCTAGAAGCAAATATGGTCATCTAGGTTTTCGGCTAATCATAGTGGAGATATTCCACAGTTTACATAGAAACCTTACAAATACACAATCATGCATCACTACTCTTATCATACATACACCGATCAGGCATAACATTATGACCTCCTTGTTTCTACACTCATTGTCCATTTTATCAGCTCCACTTACTATATAGGTGCACTTTGTAGTTCTACAGTTACAGACTGTAGTCCATCTGTTTCTCTGATACTTTGTTACCCTGTTCTTCAGTGGTCAGGACCCCCATGGACCCTCACAGAGCAGGTACTATCTGGGTGGTGGATCATTCTCAGCATGCTGGAGTTTTTAAACACCTCAGTGTCACTGCTGGACTGAGAATAGTCCACCAACCAAAAATATCCAGCCAGCAGCGTCCTGTGAGCACTGATGAAGGACTAGAGGATGACCAACACAAACAGTGAGTGGGACAGTGAGTGGGCACAGTGTTTAAAAACTCCAGCAGCACTGCTGTGTCTGATCCACTCGTACCAGCACAACACACACTAACACACCACCACCACGTCAGTGTTACTGCAGTGCTGAGAATGATCCACCACCCAAATAGTACCTGCTCTGTGAGGGTCCATGGGGGTCCTGACCACTGAAGAACAGGGTAAAAGGGGGCTAACAAAGTATCAGAGAAACAGATGGACTACAGTCTGTAACTGTAGAACTACAAAGTGCACCTATATAGTAAGTGGAGCTGATAAAATGGACAATGAGTGTAGAAACGAGGAGGTGGTCAGAATGTTATGGCTGATCGGTGTGTGTTTTGCATCAGTGGAGTTTTTCTTTTTAGGTGTAGCTGTTGAGTTTCATGTCATTAAGAATGTGTATGATTATCAGCACATATCTTACCCAGTTTGTATGTCTACACCTTTGTCTGCATCTAATATTAAAACCTTAACATTTCAACTCTTTTTCTTCCAGAAAATAACAGTTGCAGAATGCATTGAGACTCAAAGCAAAGCCATGACTATGCTGAATCTGGAACAGCTGTCCTACCTGTTGAAGTTTGCCCTGCAGAAAATGAAACAGCCAGGGGTAAGGCTTTACAGTCAGACATGATGTATATTTTATGACTGCTTTATTATCAGGGCATGACAATTCACAAATTACATATTTTGCTGGTTGGGTCTTCGCCTGGTTGAAGGCTGCAATGTTTTTCTTGCCGCTGAAGCCATTTTTTCAAAATGCAGAAAATTGCGCTCTCCTCCAAGACAGCTCAACACGCTTTGAGGAGAACGCTAACTGCTCATTCTGTTATGTCAGAGGTCACTAATAGGCGGACCATGGTCCGAGTCCGGACCCAGACGCTGTCCTATGCGGACCTGGACCTATAACCGATAAACTATAGAGAATTATTTAATTTTGATGGGGTGGTCCTGTTTTAATCGGTGTAGCTTTTCTAGCCTTTACAGTAGCTTTAGCAGCCCAGGAGACTCACAGACCAATCGCATGCATTGTAAATATCACACATGACGCTACTCAGCCAATCAGATCTGTGCATTACAATGAGCTCAGACTCCAGTGAGTGACGCACACACAGGGGAGGGACGAGGCGAGACACAGCAGTTGGAGAAGAAAGTGAGTCAGAGGGAAGTTATTTCACATGGCGTGATCTAAAAAGAGAAAACTGACAGTAAATGTTGTTGAAATATGACTGAACTGTACTTTATTTGATTTGACATTCAGTTGTTGACTGTATAAGATGTTGATATACCTACTAGGCTACTTCAGTAAACAGTATATGGCACTGAGTCATGATGAAAGTTAGACATTATGATGTTCTGGACCTTCGCTTGAGGAAATTTTCTCTAACTGGACCTTACTGAATTTTAATTAAACAATTAAACCCAGAGTGATGGTGGATAAGGGAAGGCCATCATGCTAAGTGATGGGAGGAACATAGCGAGGTCAATTATACTTACTACTTCTCATGGTCACAGATGCCTGTGGCATCACCGGGGCTCAAACTTGTATATCTCCCAATGATGGGGTCAATGCTTAGATGGTTGTACCACTTGTGAGCCCCCAGAATTGACACAGTTGTAAATGCACTTAAGCCTACATTCACAATACCAGGTTGGTAATGTTTCAGGGCTGTGTGGACACGCGAATCTGATCTTTTCAAATCCAACCTGAGCCACTTTCATATGTGGTCCTAGATCAGATACGTGTCCAATTCGTGGCCATGCGAGCTTAATGTGACGCTCAGATCTGAATTCATGTGCTTTTTTTCCACTGCGCATGACCATCATTCAGCGTTACCATGGCAGCAGCGCCGAACAGAAGTTAAAGCCTGTAAACGGTGGAAAAGCAGCTCATCTCACCTTTTTCTCCATCGTCTCGCTCTAATAATGAAGCTGAGAGCTGATCAGAGTTAATGATCTCCTCAGCGAAGCTCGTTCTGCTCGTTAGTTTGTGCTGATGATGAACGTGATTCATTCACGTGACGTTACTGAGTAGGATGAGCTCATGAGGGTCATTTCAGGACGCCGGTTCGTCACATTAATGACAGATTTGAATCACTTACCTGAACGAGTGTGAACCATCGTGTAGGAGAGATCGGATTTGAACAAAAAATCAGATCTGAGCAATGATGCTTGTAATGTGAACGTAGCCTAAAAGTACTTTCCCATTTCTTTCCCATGTAGACAGAGCCGTTTCAGAAGCCTGTCTCTCTGGAGCAACATCCAGACTACGCAGAGTACATCTTTCACCCCATGGACCTGTGCACCTTAGAGAAGGTAACTCAGCCTCTGTCATGGGAACTATTACTACTTTTGCTTTTACTTACTCAGTAGCCAAAGAAATTATGTAGAATAGAACTAGTTCTGAATAGGAGCGCTAACCGAACTGTGTTGTATCCACAGAATATCAAAAAGAAGATGTACGGCTGCACTGAGGCTTTTCTGGCAGACGTGAAATGGATCCTACACAACTGTATTATTTACAATGGAGGTTAGTTCTGATGTAGACCTTCTCTGTTTGGTTGGTATAGTGTAGTGTAGTGGGTAACACCGCTGCCTTCTACTCTGTAGACTGGGGTTAGATCCCCGCCTGGGCAAGCGCCCTACACTATACCAGTAAGAGTCTTTGGGCAAGGCACCAAACTCTACCTTCACCTGCCTGTGTAAAATGATTAACACTGTAAGTCGCTCTATGTAAGAGCGTCTGCCAGATGCCATGAATGTAGATGTTTGGTTTATTCAATGTTAACTTTATGATCGGTTCTTTTACAGGGAATCATAAACTGACTGCAACAGCAAAGGTTATTGTCAAGATCTGCGAGCATGAAGTGAGTGCCGTGCTTTGGGATTGGTATAATAAAACATTTTTGGAAGTAAATTTTACAGGGAACGATACTGTACTTGCGGTGTATAAGATGTCTTGTCTTGTCTGGTTTTCATTGCCAGATGAATGAAGTTGAAGTTTGTCCAGAGTGCTACTTGTCAGCTTGCCAAAAGAGGGACAACTGGTTTTGTGAACCTTGTGTAAGTAGATCACCCTTTTTATGTCTTTTGTGAATCAGTAAAACATCTGCCAGTACTGAAAGTGAGGTACAGAGCCATGGCATCTTAAGTTTTTTTGGCTATGTAATAACTGTAATATGAGACGCGCATCAAAGAATAGCGAGTGAGAACTAAAAGCTTTGTTTATGTTCATGTTTTGTCATACCCAGTCTCAGCCCCATCCATTGGTGTGGGCTAAACTGAAAGGTTTTCCTTTCTGGCCTGCTAAAGCTTTGAGGGATAAGGATGGCCAGGTGGATGCTCGCTTTTTTGGCCAGCATGACAGGTGAGCCCACTGTCTGACTTTATTTTTGTATGCTGCAGTGTCTTTGAAAACCAAGCTCAGATCTATCAGGGAGGTAGAGTTTGGAATTTAAAGCCAACCAGAAAAAATATGGACCTGGTAGTTCATGTCCTTGATCATAGTAAGCAATAGTTACGTTTACATGCAGACTGATGATCTGTTAATAATCAGACTCATGGCACAATCGGAATATAAGACACCTCATTCGGAATAGACAAGTCCGATTGCGGCCATTCGGAATACAGTTTCTGTCTGATTGATTGAGGTGGGTAATCCTGTAAATAATCTGTTTAATAGAAGAATAATATCCGTGTAAACGCCTGTATCTGATTACATTCCCTATCGGAAACTTTAAGTCCGTTCTGATCATGTTTGTCGCGTCATAGTGAGAGTTTATACCGTTCAACATGGCGGAGCAGAAACTGGTCTGCAGAGGAGACGAAGTTTATGCTCTGATCTTTAAAAGACGGCGGTGGGACGGACGTCCAGCTTATGTGTCTCAGAACACGACGTCTTCCTCTCGGCCTTCTTTAATAAGGACATGTGAAGGACGTTTTCCTGAGTCTGACATCATTTTAAAGCAATTAAAAACACAAGCGCTGCTCGTCTCACTCTGACTGGACTCACGTGATGCTTGTTGTCATAGTAACATCTACACTAAGTGGTTCTCCACACGTGCGTCATTTTGGATCGGATTACCTGTAGTGAGCATGTAGACGGAGATTTTTATCAGATTGTTGCGTAGAGTGAGAATAAACACCTCAGTCTGAATCTTCTATCGGAATGTATTCAAACGGATCGGCAAATATCTTTGAACACAATGTCTGTCGTATCACATCACAAAAGACTGCAGTCCTTTTTCTCTATAATCTTTGATAGAAGTGTAATGACCTTTTTTTCTGCCTGTAAATGTGTTTCTGACGTTTGGTTAAGTCACAGTGTACCTGGTGTAATATTAACCAGTGAGATTATAGGATATTTTCCCTCACTGTCCCCACCACCGCACACCCACCCATCATCGAGTCAAAACACACCAGTAATGACCTTTGTTCTCGGCTGCACGTACAGACTCAAACAAATATGTACTCCTGGTACAAAACTTTCATATTCCTCCTCCTGTGCATCCTGCACTACCAGGATGCCGAAGGTGTTGCAGGAGGCCAGTACACTGTTAGAAATAACAATGTAAATGTTCCCACAAAGGTACAACAGTGGTTTTAAGGTCTTACTGTGAACCTTAAATAAGTTTTACCAGGTGAAAAGTTCGTATTTGTACCTTTTCATAACCGAATGTTTTAAAACAGAACAGTAAAATAAAGTCCTGGAGACGAGACGGGGTGTGTGGAGTCAGTACAGCTTAGAACATATCATTTCAGTGGATTATGGTTCAGTTATGTTCCCTGACTAAAGGTACTGAGATGAACCCTTGAGGGTCCCATCCCAGTGATAAGAGGGGAACTGACCCAGTACCTATATTTCTGAGAGTGTAGTCCTCCACAATTGCAAGCTAGCGTCCAGGTCTGACTTGATTTTCGTTTTCGAATTTTTTTCACAATTAAGTTAAATCCCAACAGAGAAAATCATGTTCCACGCATTATTTCCCATCCAGATATCCCTAACAAACAAAATGTGCTCTTATTTCCATTTCACACTGACTTTAACTATTGACTTCGACGTCACTCTTTGTTTTTTTTATTTTTTATTTTTTCTTCCCCAAAGAGCCTGGGTGCCCATTAACAACTGCTACCTCATGTCGAAAGAGATTCCCTTCTCTGTGAAGAAGACTAAGAGCATCTTCAACAGCGCCATGCAAGAGATGGAGGTTTATGTAGAAAACGTGCGCAAAAAGCACAGCGTCTTCAACTATGCCCCGTTCAGAACACCATACACGCCCAACAACCAGTTCCAGATGCTGCTGGACCCAGGAAACCCCAAGAAAGGCACGGTCATGGGGGAGAAGCAGGACAAAATCAAGTTCAACTTCGACATGACTGCATCTCCCAAAATGCTCTTGGGCAAGAGCATGATGCCAGCAGGGGCAGGGCGTAGGATCTCCATGACGGACATGCCCCGATCTCCAATGAGCACTAACTCCTCCGTCCACACAGGGTCAGACCTTGAGCAGGACGCGTCAGAACGAGGAACAAAGGTGCCATCCAGTCACTACAGTGCAGGAGAAGACTCAATGGATTGCACAGGTACATCCACTGTGTTATAACGTAGTACGGGAACCTTTCCTTAGTGCTGATTTGCTTAATAGGATGATATAAGTTGCAAGGGAAACTGATTGTTTGGTGCACTAAGGGACGATTAAATTTCTTCTTGGCCGCAGCATCACCTACATCTCAGAAGACCACAGGAAGCCCCAAACCCGTCTTGCCAACGTCTCTCAAACAGGAGAGGACCCAGGCCACTGGCAGCATTCTCAACCTCAATCTCGGTGAGTTTTTTAAGGACAGTTGCCTGTCTTGCCATGTCCTGTTACGTTAGTTTTTCTTTACCACTGTTGCCCTCTGGGATCTTTTAGTAAAGCACATTTACACAGTCGAGTCACATTATTATGACCACCAGCTAATATCCAGAGTAACCGCCGTGTGCAGCACGGACAGCAGCTGGACGGGCTGGGAGTGACTCAGTAAGATCCTGGTAGGTTGTCCCAGGTATCTGGAGCCATGCTGACTAGAGTGCATCCCACAGCTGGAGGGGACGTAGGGGAGGATCCATAGAGCGAACACGACGATTGAGGTGTTCCCACAGATGCTCAACTGGGTTCAGGTCTGGGGAATTAGGGGTCCAGGGTAGTACTCGGGAAGTCTTGGTCATGCTCTTCCAACCAGTGTCGGACATTTCTAGCCGTGTCACATTGTCTTGCTGGAAAATTCCATCTGCCCCAGGGAAGACAATCAGCATGTATGGGTTTATGTGATCTGCAAGGATGGATTCATACCCAAATCGGTTGAGAGTGCCTTTCCACATGGATGAATGGGCCCAGAGAATGCCACGAAAACATTCCCCAGACCATAAAGCTGCCACCACCAGCTTGCGCGCCGTCGAAAGTAGGAAGTGGTCATAATGATGTGACTCGACTGTGTATGTCTACTGTAAAAAGAGCTAAACTAAATTGAGTAGGAGCTACACAAAACCAACAGACCATCACAAAATACTGTTGGATCATGAACCTGAAACTTTTTTTTTTTTTTTTGGGGTCATGTCTGATGTCTGGACTCTACTCTCAGACCGCATTAAAGCAGAGATGGACCTAAAGGAGCTGAGTGAGACTGTACAGCAGCAACAACAGCAGCAGCAGGGGTCTTCTGTACTCCTCACCTCCCCTAAGAAACCCACCAGGAGTCTGGACAAGACCATAGAGAGCTGCAAGGCCCAACTAGGTAGGACACACATACATACTGGGATCTCGCTGAGTTGAAAATTGTCACCAATTATTAACAATTTGAAGGAACTAAAAATTCTGTAAAGACTGGTATAACAGCATAAATGATCAAAATAAAACATGCTTTCCTCCTTATGTTAAAGGAACGTTCATTCTGTGAGTCAAGCCCTTTATAAATATGAATGTTTTACTATTGGCGATTTGCTGATGCCTCATAATCAGTGTCATGCTTACACGAGTCGCATATTTGTCATCCAGCTGTCTTTTCACTGTTTTTGACTCAAACTGTTCATAGGAATTCAAGAAATCTCAGACGATGTGGGTGTGGATCACAGTGACTCAGACGATTCGGACAAGTCTGACTCCAGCGACAGTGAATATGCAAGTGAAGAGGAACATGAACCAAAGGATGGCAATCAGGACAATGGCATCCATAAAGAGTCCAAAAAGAGGCCTAGACCTCAGTCTTCACAGCCGCAGGACAGCAAGGCGCCTCCGCCAGCAACGGTGGACAAGGCGGCGTCCGAGCCGCCCGCCAAAAAGAAACCCGCCAGTGTTCTGGAGAAGGAATCCCAGGAGAAGCCAAGGACTGTACAGCAGCAGCCGCCCCAGAAAGAGAAGCCTTCAACTGGGCAGGAGGGCAAGGCCACGAAAAATCAGGATGCAGACTCGGACTCTGAGAGAGAACTAGTGATTGACCTTGGAGAGGAGCAAGGAGGACGAGAGAGAAAGAAACCAAAGAGAGAGACGCCGTCAGCTCCCAGCTCTACGACCAAAGACCCAGCAGCCGTCAAAGCTGAAGGTGGGCAGATTGTCTGTCTTTTGACCTTTTACACGTACCTTTTGAAGATTTGTGACACACAGTTTTTCAACATATTTTTAATTATTGAACATTTTTGACAAATGACAATAACTTTAAGTACTGAATGGAAAGCTGTTTAGATCTGGCCATTTTCCCTGCAAAACAGCTGCCCTGAGGATATAATGGCCCATGCTTCTCTCCTTGTTGTGATGTCAGCAGTCATCATCACTGAAAAAGTAACATTGAAAACGAACAGTTTTTACTGGCATAAAGTGATAGAGACATGGATTTGATTTTACTTGTTTTGTTTTTTTGTGCTGGTTGTTGTCATATTGGTACATATCACCATCAAAACATAGGTAAATAAATTTACTCCTACCCTGAATCCAAAGTCAAGAAAGGAAGATAAAGAGCACAAAAAGAAAAGAGCACTCCACAATCTTCTCAATTTGCTGAAACTGGCCAGTGCTGACCCCATAGATTGCACTTCACATAGGTGCCCATCCGTACTACATACTGTCTGGACTAGATTTAGATTTTAAAGAGTTGCTGACCTTTTAATATAATGTCTTTGAGTTCAGTTCAGTTGAGGCACTGCTCTTGAACGTTGGTCATTCATAAGAAAATATCTTACATATTTTCTTATCATTGAACTGACAGTTAACTAGAGTGTATGTAATTTGATGGATGCTTGAAAGGTTGATTGTTGGTGTATTTTTAAGGGCAGAAAACAAAACAGTTCATCAGGTTTATAAGTCATTCTTTTATCATAGAGTATCAGTACTTTAGGAAGCACACACACATTTTCTCAACCGCTTATCCTTCTGGGTTGAACCTGTGGGGAGGGGGGGGGGCATGGGGGTGGCTGGAGCTTATCCCAGCGGTCACTGGGAGGAAGGCAGGATACACCCAGGACAGGTTACTTAAGAAGCAAAAGTTCTTTATTAATGCAAACAAATATTATCTAGTACAGTGATATTGTATTGTATTGTATTGTATTGTATTGTATTTGGAATATATTGCAATATTAAATTGTATTAATACTGTGTGTCTTTCTGTTGGTACAGTGTAACTTGGCTCATATAGTAATTCCCTGCTGTTTTCTTCCTCTCCATGTTGTCTCTGCTCAGGAAAAGCTCAGTCAACAGCCAGCGCATCAGGTTCTCCATCCACAGCCCCCAACTCCTCATCCTCTACCCCCAGTGTGAAAGACTCAACTCAGCCAGCTTCCAAGCCTTCAAACAACTCCACCCAGCTGTCCAGCTCCACCAGCACTGCGTCCACGGCTCCGAACCCAGGAGTACCAGCGGTCCCCTCTACAGCAAACTCCACCTCCTCTGTGGTGAAGAAACAGCGCCCTCTGCTGCCTAAGGAGGCGGCCCAGCCTGGCCAGCCAGCGGTGGTATGGAACCAGGCTGGGAATAAGTTCCAGACATCCTCTCAGAAGTGGCATATGCAGAAGGTCCAGAGACAGCAGAATCAGCAAGGAGGGCAGCCGGCCTCTCAGCCGGCTTCACAGCCCCAGCCTCAGAGCCCAGCGGCTTCCGGCAGCGGCAGCACCAGCACCCGCTACCAGACCAGGCAGTCTATGAAAGGTAATGAAGAAATACTGAATTGTCTATAACCCTGTCAACCTACACCATCCTCAAACATCTGTTGTATGAATATGTTTGCTTCCGACTGTTATAGACCTTATTGAGTCGTAGTGTTTGCATCACAGAATGAAAAGGGGGGGAGGGGGCTGAGTGGAGCAGGGGCTGTATTACAGAAACTTCTTATCTTTTTGTCTTAAGATCTGACAGGTCAGGATAGGATTTTTCACAAATTCGTATTACAGAAGCAAATCTGGTCTTAATTTAAGAATCTTATCTTACAGCATCTTCTCTTATCTCGAGTTAGGAAATCTTAACTTACTCGATTCAGGTCGACAATCAGCTGTTGTGTCTGTTACCTAGCAACCTTCCATACACGCACAGCTGAAACGTAAACACGTAATCAAGTTAGTTAGCCAGGCAGCTAACGTTAGCTACCGTTACTGATGTAAAGAAGGTAAAATAAAACTAAAGTGTGATAAACTGAGAATAAAGAATTCTGTGACAGCGCCCCCTGCTGTCTCCAGTTTCAGTCTCCATTTCCCAAACGCTTTAGCCAAGCGTGCTAACGTTACTCCTCCTAATAAACAGACGCATCCGGTGTGTGGTGGCCTTTACAGTTGCTGCCGTCTTGACAAAACACTCCAGAGTGTTTTCACTTCAGTTGTTTGTGCAGAGCAGTTGTACTGCTATGATAAGCCATTTCCAATTTGTAGAGCTTACAGAGCACCGGATTGCTGGGTTTCTGTCTAAAATACTCCCACACTTTAGATGATCATGGGCGAGGTTTTTATCTGCTGCTTGTTCACCAGGGGAATTCATGCTTTGACCAGCCACGGCCATCTTCATAGCGTCACACCGATGCACGTTATGCAAAGCGATGTATTTCTGTAATCAGTGATGTCAGTTATGTTGATTAGTTGCCCGTCCCCGCTAACAAGAAATAGTTATTCTCTCCTCCAGTTAGCATTGTGCAAACTGCATAACTAAATCATTATACATTTACGTGCGTTATTAAATAAGTAAATCATGCAGTTTGTAATTATTCTGAATTACACTCGTTTTGTGGTTTCTAACATTATATGACATACTTTAACATATAAACATCCACAAAAGTGAGGCTTCAGAAAGACTGCTACTACTGTTTTTAGCTGTGTGACATAATTGTATCCATTTTTGTAGGTAGCATTATGAAATACAGTGACGGAAACAACATAAATAAGTGACATGCAGTTTGAGGCAAGGCTGTGTTGGTTAGACAGGCAGTTGGCACAATGCTATTTCTGTTACTTGTTAGCTATATTAGTCTTGCAGCTTCATACACCAAACATGTTTCAACTGAGTGACTACATTAGGGGTGGAAAATTATAGAAAATTAATTAATTTATTCATTGTTGTTGAAGCACATTTAAAGGTCAGAGTTTCCTAACGGTTCTCTTCTGTTGTCAGTTGAATATAATGTGATTGGTTTTGTTTTTACCAGCTGTTCAGCAGAAAGACGCCTCGTCTGGCTCCTCCTCTAATTCTATACTGGCTGGAGACTTCCTCGCCCCTCCTGCCTCCGCTGATGTAGCTGCTGACATCGCCAAGTACACATCTAAAGTAAGTCAGAGGTTTATAGTAGGGATGTAACAATACATGTTTTCAGGTTTGATATGATTTTTCATTCTGAGGTCAGGATTTGGTTTAATTTTTGATTTTGTATCTGTTAAAAATGTCCTGATTATACAGAGCTATAATTCTATACTACACAGACTGGTTTGGTGCAAATAAATGACAGTTCTCCAACAGAGCTCATTCAGTTTGTGCCGTGCTGCAAAATAAACCCCAAAAATCCCTCAACTCATGCTTATACCTTTGAAAATGATTTAACATAAATTCAAATGTTTATTCTACACCATTAAGTTCAGTATATTACGTGGAACTTTACTATTACAACCCCGTTTCCAAAAAAGTTGGGACGATGGGCAAAATGTCAAAAACAGAATGCAATAATGTGCAAATCACAGTACAAAGACAACATAGCAAAAGTTAAATATACACCAATTTTGAATTTGCTGCCAGCAACATGTTTCAAAAAGTTGAGATGGGGGCAACAAAAGACTGGTTAAGTTGTGAAATGCTAAAAAAACACCTAATGGAACATCTCACAGCTAATTAGGTTAATTGGCAACAGTAACATGATCACATATTAAAAAAGAGCATCTCAGAGAGGCTGAGTCTTTCAGAAATAAAGAGGGGGAGGGGTTCACCACTCCATGAAAGACTGTGCAGGCAAATTCAAGAATAACGTTTCTTATGTAAAATAACATGCAATGCAAAGAACTTGGGGATTTCATCATCTACGGAACATAATATCATTAAAAGGCTCAGAGAATCCTGAGAAATCTCGGTATGTAAGAGACGAGGCTGAAGACCGTGATCTTTGGGCCTTCAGGTGGCCCTGCGTTAAAAACGGACAGTTCTGCTGTGGAAATCACTGCATGGGCTCAGCTTCCAAAAATCACCATCTTTGAACACAGTTCGTCGCTTAAGTTAAAGTTAAAACTCTACCACGCAAAGAAGAAACCACATATAAACAGGATCCGGAAACGCTGCCGCCTTCTCTGGGCCCGAGCTCATTTAAAATGGACTGAGGTAAAGTGGAAAAGTGTCCTGTGGTCCAACAAATCAAAATTTGAAAATATCTTTGGAAATCATGGACACTGTGTCCTCCAGGCTAAAGAGGTGAGGGATCATTCAGCTTGTTAATAGCGCACAGTTCAAAAGCCATCATCCTTGGTGTTAAGAGGGTGCTTTAGTGCACATGGCATGGATGACTTGCACATTTGTAAAGGCACCATTAATGCTGAACAATATATATATATATATATATATATATATATATATATATATATATATATATATATATATAGTTTTAGAGTAACGTATGCTGCCACCCAGGCAAAAGCTTTTTTTAGGCGAAAACAATGCCAAACCACATTCTGCACGTATTACAACGGCATGGCTCAATAGTAAAAGCGCCCGAGTGCTAAACTGACCTGCCTGCAGTCCAGACCTGTCACCTGTTGAAAACGTTTGACGCATTATGAAACGAAAAAATATCATAAAGGAGACTCTGAACTGATGAGCAGCTGAAATCCTATATCAAGCAAGAATGAGAAAACATTTCACTTTCAGAACTACAGCAGTGTCTCCTCAGTTCCCAAACGCTTACAGAGTGTTGTTAAAAGAAGAGGTGATGAAACACAGTGGTAAAAGTTACCCTGCCGCAACTTTTTTTGTAACATTTTGCTGGCATCAAATCCAAAATGGGCAGATATTTAAAAAAAACAATTACATTTCTCTCTCAACCTTTGATATGTTGTTGTCTTTGTACTATTTTAATTGAATATAGCTGTAGGAAAAGGGGTTGTATATTGAAACCCATGCTTTGGTTTTATTTTTTTGTAGATGATGGATGCAATTAAAGGAACAATGACGGAGATATACAACGACCTCTCCAAAAGCACAACAGGAAACACCATTGCTGAGGTTTGACTTTTTTGCATATTGTCTTAATATAAACAGAAGTAACACGATATTTAAGTCTTTGAGATTTAAATTAAACAGATGGTGCTAAATACATAACATTTGCATTTGACTGAAAATAAACCTTTAATTATTTCAATTATTAATACTTTTCATTGCTCTGTAGAGTTGCATAACACTTTCTTGTCTTCTGTAATGACGTTGCTTTGACACAGATCCGAAGGCTGAGGATAGAGATCGAGAAGCTCCAGTGGCTGCATCAGCAAGAGCTTTCAGAGATGAAACACAATTTAGGTGAAGGTTAATTTTGTGTGTCCAGCTGAACATGTTTAGCTTTTCCCTGCCTGAATTCACTGTACAGTGATTTTGTGCTTGTATTTATCTGTAGAGTTAACCATGGCAGAGATGAGGCAGAGTCTAGAGCAGGAGAAGGAGAGGCTGGTGTCTGAAGTAAAAAAGCAGATGGAGATGGAGAAGCAACAGGCTGTGGACGAGACCAAGAAGAAGCAGTGGTGTGCCAACTGTAAGAAAGAGGCCATTTTCTACTGCTGCTGGAACACTAGCTACTGTGACTACCCCTGCCAGCAGGCGCACTGGCCCGAACACATGAAATCCTGCACACAATCAGGTATGCATCACAAACACGGTCACTGTCAGCGCAGGTTTACTTATATTACACAACAGGTCAAAATGATGGAAGCAAGCAGGACTTATTTCAAAAATATTTTACAAACGAGTCTTTTTGACAACAACTTAGCCCATGTAGGTGTCCGTTGGTTTGCAGTAATGCACTCTTAAGTATCAAACCACCTACTGTCCCCCAAAAAATACCTATAAAAAATACAAATTAAAAGAGAAAGCAAGGATTTATAAATCTACTTTGACTGATCAGCCATAACATTCTGACCACCTCCTTGTTTCTGCGCTCACTGTCCATTTTATCAGCTCCACTTACTGTATAGGTGCACTTTGTAGTTCTACAGTTACAGACTGTAGTCCATCTGTTTCTCTGATACTTTGTTAGCCCCCTTTTACCCTGTTCTTCAGTGGCCAGGACCCCCATGGACCCTCACAGAGCAGGTACTATTTGGGTGGAGGGTCATTCTCAGCACTGCAGTAACACTGACGTGGTGGTGGTGTGTTAGTGTGTGTTGTGCTGGTACGAGTGGATCAGACACAGCAGTGCTGCTGGAGTTTTTAAACACTCTGTCCACTCACTGTCCACTCTATTAGAAACTCCTACCTTGTCAGTCCACCTTGTAGATGTAAAGTCAGAGACAGCAGCTCATGTGTGTCAGCATAGTTTGTGTTGGTCATCCTCTAGTCTTTTGTCAGTGGTCACAGGATGCTGCACAGGATGCTGTAGATGGTCCAGTCTCTGTGATTTGTAAACTTCCTGTGAGATGGAGTCATATATAGAGGAGTATGGAGTCAAATATTACAGACATCTTGTGGCAAAACTACCTTACCCAGCCCAGTACTTGTCTTTGCAACACTCCCTTATACTGAAGAGTTTTTAATTGTTTACAATTCTTAATTTAACCCACCTGATTGAGTTAATTAAGCTCTTAAGAGCATCTGAATGGACTTAGCAGGTGGATATAATTAGAGCTGTGCTAAAACTCTGCAGTGAACAAAACAAAAATTACTCAGTTAATTATGCAGCATCAGTGTGGTCAGATATTCGTCTGCGATGTTAATGAATTATTGCATACTAATGTTTTTATACAATTAAGATTAAGTGACCCTTATTAGTCCCACAATGGGGAAATTTCACCTCCACGTTAAACCCATCCGTGCAGTGAAACACCACATACATACTAGTGAACACACTCTCTAGGGGGCAGTGAGCTCACTTGCCTGGAGCAGTGGGCAGCCCTATCCGCGGCGCCCGGGGAGCAGTTGGGGTTAGGTGTCTTGCTCAAGGGCACTTCAGTCACGTACTGTCGGCTCAGGGGATCAAACCGGTGACCTTCCGGTCACAGGGCTGGTTCCCTAACATCAAGCCCTTCGCTTCCAAGTCTTTGCCTGTAGTGTAGCTATGTTTTCAGTCTTTTGAGTTTTCTCTGTCTGCATTATAAACAACCATACATACCTGTGGTTAGGATCCTGTTGTAAAACTGTCTCCTGTTGCCTAGCTACAGCATCTCAGCAAGAAACGGAGGAGGAGGCCTCTACAGTTTCAGCAGTAAAGCCTTCAGGACAATCACCTAAAGCCCAGCCCTCTCCCACAGCCAACAAAACCTCGCCCGCACACAAAAACTCTCCACCCATGGCAGAGAACACTAGGGGGAGCACTGGGGGCTCAGTGTCCTAACCAGCGCACTACAGACGTTAATGCATTTCTCCTATAGAGTTCTTCAAAAGGTTACGGATTCATGAGGAACCTGGGGTCATTTTGGTTGTGGAGCTTTTCGTTCTGCATTTCTTTCCTCTTCCTCTGAACGCTATGGTCACAAAGACATCAGAAGCTTGAACCCCTTTCCAGCCTGGTTCACTACACCTGAGGGTATGAGATGGTGTTTGACTTCCTTTCATGTATATTATTAACTGTCATTTAATGTTTTTTTTAATCTACAGAAAATGTTTTGTACAAAACTTTCATATAAAATATGCAAAGATAATACTGTTTTTTACTCACTTAAGTTTTGTATAGTGCAAAAGGTTTTTTGTTTTTTTTTAAAAGGTTACCGCTGCACTTAGGTGCCTCCAGAAAGGTGGAGCTTACTTTATACTTTGAGGTTTTGAATCTTGTGAACATGCTGTGAGTTTACTATTTCACCACCTGTTAAGGAATGATTGTTCATTCTCATGGATTTCCACTACATCTCCCAGGAGGACTCTGTAATACTCTATGTAGCTGTCTTAATGATATCGTTCATCCAGAAAATGGTTTGCTTGACTTAAAACTGGGAAAAAAAACGAGCTACTGAGGGCCTTTCGTTTTAACTTTTAGCTCTTGGCATCCCTTGTTTACATATTGTAAATAGCAAAAGAATAAAAGGAGACAAATATCTGTAAGGAAAAAAAATAAAATCAACTCTCCTCTGAAAGAAAAATCCCTTGTTGCTTTGATTTTTATATTTTTTTTACAGAGTGAAATTTAATTTTTAATTCCAGTTCATTGTCAATGGAATGAATGTAGCTGGTGTAGTTTTTGGTTGCTCACCATTCATGATGTTATGGCGGCCTCTAGTGGTCTTTTCTGTACAAATTCACAGCGTTGAATACTGTCTCATAATTCTACAGTTCTTTTTTTTTTTTTTTAAACACATCTTACTTCAAAGCTTTGGATTAGATCTGATAGTGACTGGGAATCTCTGGTGGCTGTATTAGCTTCATCTTTCAGAGGTAAAAAAATGTATTACATTTTATTAACCTTTTAAGTTCTCACTTGTAAGGAAGGTTCTTTCTGCACACTCACTGTCCACTTTTACACTCTTGGGGTTGGTTTCATGGACATGGATTAAGCCTAAAGTGCAATGTCAATGCTGTTTTACTGTTAATCTTATTTAAGATGGGGTCTAGTCTGAGTCTGGGACACTAGCCTTCCATATAAAGTAGTTGAGGTTGGCGGTCTAAGGATCATAGGCTAATCAAATCTAATGGGGATTGAAATGGATGTATTGCCCACTTCTGTTGTGTGTGCTTGTAAATAGCATATGTTAATCTAGCCATCTAGTCTTCTCATATACTTGTACAGTTATTTGCACAAATAACATAATGTATAAACATCATGCAGTCACTTCCATAATTACCGCCCCTTGGTAAGGATAAGTAAGTCTTGAAAAGTAAATGCCTGTGTTCAGTTAGCTCAATCTCACACTGAAAACTGAAATTATCTTAGACCGTATCTTTCTTTTTTTGTGAGATTAACCACAAAAATGTTCAACTTTTTACCCATCTTCACCAAGCGTTCCAAGAATTATGAAGCTAACTGTAGGTACACCTGTAAATACTGAAATACAGAATAGTAGTTGCAGGATTTATCAGTATGCTTTGATGTAGTTTACTGTAAAGGTATTTTCTATACCTTCAACCATGGTTTTAGGAGGCCTCTGGCAGAATAATATATATATATATATATATATATATATATATATATATATATATATATATATATATATATATATATATATATATATATATATATATATATATATATGGGGAATAAAATGTATAATAAGAAGAAAAGTGAAATTAAACAAGTACACGTTTGTGTTTAGGCTCACTTTGAGCAACGCTGGAATTTTTTCTGACAAACAAAATTAGCCTGTCAGTGATTTTCTATTGTGTCTACATTGTAAAGGTAACACTGAACACCTGAGTTGTAATACAACAGCAGTAGTCCTACACTAATCAGAGGGTAAACGGTAATAATACAACCCTCCATCTCAAACATTCCTTTTAAGTGGCAACACAAATAAGTTAGTACTATATAAAAATGTAGAAGCTGCTATATATTAAAGATAGTATAATAATGGTAATAATGTATTTTTTTATTTATTTTATTTATTGTCATTTGTACATTTTCAAGGACAGTTTGCCCATCTAATGTTTACATCTACAGTGGGTAGTTCCAAATAGACCCCAAGCCTTGCTCCTCAAGGCCCCTGGCAGTCAGAGGCCCCTGGCCACTGTCCCCAGTGGCCTGGTCAGTAACCTGTCTCTGCACTCAACCCGAGACAAAGCAGAAGAAGATGCTTCAACCAACTACAGGTGAGGTGCGACCATAAAAAGGCATTGGAAATAGGACACTAACTCTATATCCAGGGTCATCAAATAGCGGATCCTTCCCGAGTTTTCTTCGGCCTCAACCCATTCTCCAATATATATTTTTTTCAGGTCTGTTGAAATTATGTTGAATCTTTAGCAAAGGATAAAGCATCGAACACTGTTCTAGCACTAACAGCTATTGAAATGTCTAAGAACATATTGGGGACATTGTAGCACTGTTTAACGTGGGAAAAGGAGTGTTTTTTTTTTTATGAGACAGCAGGCATGGAGCAGAAATCGCTGACTTTCACCCCTCGCCCCTACCACTGAGCCCTTAGCCCTCTGTTTTGCTGGTTCATGTCTAGGGGTAGGGTGTCCCGATTCTTGTTGAGATAGAGGGGTAGGGAGAAGTGTTGGGGCTACATGACCCTCCAAACGGAGGTTTTTTAGAGACTCCAAACAGAGAGATATAAGAAACAAAGAAAAACCAGCGATATGGAGAACAAGAGACCAAAGAAACACACAAATGTGAGAATTTTCTCTGTTAAAAATCACAATATCCACTGTTTTATCTTAGTTTAATGTCGTTTCAGTGTATTTTGGTCGTTTTCTTCATAACAAGCATAAAAAATCGCTAATAGCATGCTAATGTCTCGGTAGCCAGCTTGCTAACTTTCCTGTTCCACCTTAAATAGTCCAGCAGTTCTGACACCTGAAGAATGTAACTGCTGCTCCATTTAAGGTGGAACGGGAAAATTCGAACAAGAACAAGAATCTGGTGAATCTCTGACTTCAGCTTCATATCACTGAAGAATTAGGGGTGGGTGATAATAAATAATTGCCCCCCTCTTTGAAGGCATATGAGTCCCTAAATGTAACTAAAGCCCAGCAGTGAGGAGCTGAACTTTACCCTCCTCTGCTGTCACTGCAGACTGGCAGGGTCGCCTACAGAGCAGCGCTGGTAGCTGTTGATGAAGTGATGCTCTTTTTATTTGAGGGTCCCATTTCAGGGGGAAGATTTCAACCACTACCCTGTAACTCAGTTCCAAGAGATTAGGGTGACACTCCAAAACAAGGGGTAGGGTAAAAAGAAGAAATGGGACTGGTCTTTACTGTGTTGTGCTTAATAGTGGGGAGGGCAATATGGAAAAAAAAGTTAGACCATGATAACGACATTTTCAAAATACAAAATACATATGACGATATTTTGGCTCACAGACAAATTGGGCTGGTAGTGCCACAGTGCTATTAAAAACTGGATGATGTAATGATTTTATTCAGCGTTCCACCTACTGCCCTGTGCTAAATCCAATTAAACAGGATTAACTGTGCTCTCTTTGTTATGAAACATGCAGTTGGTTCAGTGTTCATTAGGTACTGACAATATCTGTGATATGCTCAGAAAAGCATGTTTATCACAAAAGCAAAACTGATCACAATAACAACATATCGCCATATTGCCCACCTCTACTTGAAGAACAATTACTTTATTTCAATTTTACTAAAAAGCTGTAATATAAAATCTGTTTTCCTATTTAATTGTGGAAAAATGGGCTTTTACTTTAAATGGACAAATACTTTGACTTCACATGACCAGAAATTTTTTATAATGTTGTTATTACCATACATTCCAAATACCAAATATATTTCCAATATTTGTAAATATTAGGTCGTGCATTTTACTAAGTATAAGTTGGATTTGTATGGTCTTTTTTTCAATAAAAGGATGTTTTTAGAGAAAAATTTGATTTTATGGTGTTTTTAGATTTTATGGTGCTGTGCTATGATTGCACGTCATATTTTTTTACCAAATACCCCACTTCTAAAAAATATTTTTTCAAATATTTACATTATTTAAGCAATGTTAAATAATAAAAACACATTAAAACATTTTTATAATGTTTAAGTAATAATTCATGCAATAGAAGGTTAAATTAGCTGTTTAATTGCAGATCAGATGGGTTGGCTGAGCATTTCAGAGCAATCTTCTGTTATATCACTCAGTACAGAGTTCCAAACTGTGTCTGCAAGCAATGTTAGCATTGAGCTGTGCATCAGTAGCTTAATAAAATAGGTTTTCATGGCTGAGCAGCTGAGCACAAGCCTAACATCGCTACGTGTAATGACAAGCATCAGGTGGGGTGGTGTAAAGCACCGCCACTGGACTCTGGAGCAGTTGAAACATGATCTCTGAAGTGATGAATCACACTTTTCTATCTGCCAGTCTGATAATGAATCTGGGTTTGGTGGATGCCAGGAGAACGCTACCTACTCAAATGTACACCGATCAGCCATAACATTATGACCACCTCCTTGTTTCTGCGCTCATTGTCCATTTTATCAGCTCCACTTACTATATAGGTGCACTTTATAGTCCTACAGTTACAGACTGTAGTCCATCTGTTTCTCTGATACTTTGTTAGCCCTCTTTTACCCTGTTCTTCAGTGGTCAGGACCCCCATGGACCCTCACAGAGCAGGTCCTATTTAGGTGGTGGATCATTCTCAGCACTGCAGTAACACTGACGTGTTGGTAGTGTGTTAGTGTGTGTTGCGCTGGTCTGAGTGGATCAGACACAGCAGTGCTGCTGGAGTTTTTAAACACCTCAGTGTCGCTGCTGGACTGAGAATAGTCCACCAATCAAAAATATCCAGCCAGCAGCGTCCTGTGGGCAGTGTCCTGTGACCATGAAGGACTAGAGGATGACCAACACAAACTGTGCAGCAGCAGATGAGCTATCGTCTCTGACTTTACATCTACAAGGTGGACCGACAAGGTAGGAGTGTCTAATAGAGTGGACAGTGAGTGGACACAGTGTTTAAAAACTCCAGCAGCGCTGCTGTGTCTGATCCACTCAGACCAGCACAACGTCAGTGTTACTGCAGTGCTGAGAATGACCCACCACCAAAATAGTACCTGCTCTGTGAGGGTCCATGGGGGTCCTGGCCACTGAAGAACAGGGTAATAAAGTATCAGAGAAACAGATGGACTACAGTCTGTAACTGTAGAACTACAGAGTGGAGCTGAGCGTAGAAGCAAGGAGGGGGTCATAATGCTATGCCTGCGCTTGTAGAGACATTTCGGCATTATTCGTCCTCGTGAAAGGCTTTTTCACACACCCCACTCACACTCTCTATTTCCCACAATCCTTCCGTCTCCCTCACTCACACTCCGCCGTGACGTCAACATCTGTCTGAACAAACCGACGCCAAATCACAGAAAAGGGAGCGCCGGCGACCAGGAGGTAATGACCACAACTCAACTCCGCGAACCTGCTTTTGTGTGTGGCTCGCGTGTTTTTTTTAAATCGCCGTGTAAACAGACAGCAGTGTTGTTTATTAACGCGAACTAATACCCGGTTATTAACCGAGGCAGAAGTCGGTGAGAGAAGGCGGAGATGGTAGCAGCTCGTTAGCTCGGTGTAGTTGGGGTCGCTAGCTGGCCGGTTCGCCGCGGCGGGGTGGAGACAAAGCAGATGAGGGCTTTCAGTGCGAATAACAACACGTGCTTCTGGGTGATTCTCATGGCCGAACTGGGATTAATAACTGGGCTTTTTTCGCTGCTGTCCGGTTCAGTTTGTTCACCAGTTGTCCGACTTCGCGAACCAGCTTGTCGAATGTGCGCTAGTCGAACAAGCTAACCGGTTAGCCCCGTTATCCACAAGGGCTTAGCCGAGTTAGCCAGCTAGCCAGGGTGCTAACGCTAAGCTACTTCCCTTCTTCTCCTAGTTTTACTGCTGTGTTGGGGACTTTTGCCCGTTTAACGAACCTGTATAAATCCCGAAACAGGGTAGCTGACTGTAGTTAGCGTTTTCTGCGCGATTCCTAAACGGGGTTCCCCCTAAAATTGGTTATATTGCTGGTCGTGTCTGAATTTACCCGTGTATTTATAGCTGCATCACGTAGCCGTGAAGTCCTCCGTTAGTCAGAATGAGTTGGCGCAGCTTCTCGCGAATGTCTGTGGATTTACACCCAAATGAGTAGCATAAGCAGCGCATTACGATGCAGCGAAAATACATTATTTCTATATCTTTAACTTGACAAATAACCTAAGAGGTATTACGGAGTATTACGGAGGAACGCTATCCTAGCATTCCGGCCTAAACCCGGCATTTAATGCAGAATTTGTCGTGTTGTTTAATATTCTGTACCGCAGCGTTGCAGCTCTCAGCCTCACTGCTTTAATATTATTCACGGTTATTTTTTAAAACAGGTCGTTTTTGTCCATCATTGTTCTCTCACCGCTATACTGTAAGCATTATATCGGCAGTAACCGAGCTGTGTAACCTGACTGACCGCCTGTATAGGACGTTTCTAGCATTATCAAGTAGGAGTTTAATCCGTTTTGTTTTTCTTTCCTGTCATATTTTCCTCTGGTGATCAGACTAATTACTGCATATTGAATCAGAAATTAATTTTTAATCGTTAAGCAGCTAAACATTCTCGTCGTACAGACCCAGAGGAAAGAAATGTTCAAAATGAGATCTCCTCTGAATCTCAGGCTCTTATCCTAGACACAGTTTGAGACTTTATCCATTTTGTCCTGAGAAATAATCCTCTATGGAGCTGGTGACACCCTCTATCAATAAAAATAATACGTGGCCACGACTTAGTAAAGTCGTCCCACGGCTTACTAAGTTGTGGCCACGCATTAGGATCTTGTTCCCATACGTTAATGAGGCGTGGTCACGCATTATTTTTATTTGTACAGGATGTCACCAGCGGGGCTCTGTAACCCTCAGATTTTCTCACTTTGATCAAAATGTTGTCTTTAGAGTCTGACTCGTCTCAGCCCAGCCTCAGCTGAGTAATATCTCCATAAGAAAAGTGTGAGATCTCATCGTTCTCTCATACAGCTCCGTTCTAGATCACAGAACCCTCTCAGCAGTCTGTCAGTGCAGAAGGAGAACTCACGCTTTTCTCCTTCATCACCAGAACGTCTCACAGTGAGACGCTGATGTTAATCTCCTCTTTTCTCCTGAGGAGGTTCAGGAGAAACAGTTCAGAAATCAGTGATCCTTCATTAATATAATACTGAGATCTGCTTTATTTCTCTGAGACAATCCTAAGAAAGAATTTCTTTCCTCTGGGGAACATTATGCATATAAATACAGTGAAAGGCAGGCGGCGAGAGAGGAGAGTGAGGCTGTGTTCTGATGTGAACTGACAGAATAAAAGGTCTGATGTAGTAATTATCACCAAAATGGGATAGAAGGACACATGCATCCATATTTAAGTAAGTTCCAATCCAGATATAGCACCTTTAAATATTTTTTTCTAGTCCCCTGAATGGTGATCACTGTTATTAGAGCACATCGCTTTTTACTCTGTTTTGTGATTAAATCATGTTAAAAATAGGCTACACATGAAAATCAAGCCCGAACATGACAGAACTATTGATGTTAACTGGCCGAAGTTTATAATAGAAACTGTATTAGGTCAGATTGATCGTATCCCAACCTTACACAGCTGTATACTTTCAAAATTATGGAAAAAAAATGTATTTTATATGGGAAAACTGTATAGGTTGACACCTGTTCTGTACCTACCATGCAATGTACACTGTGATTAAAAAAAAGCCACTGATATAGAGCTAATAAATACAGAATTGATATCTGGCTTTCAGGCAGTAAAATTAGCTATCTAGCTTTCTTTGACTAGTTGAGAGGGGGGCACATTTCCAGTAGCCCACCCTCAAGTATCCCCCTCAAAGCATTTGTCATTTTTCAAAAGCTCCTCCCACCTTCAAGATACATCATCAGAAGTGTCTTAACCCGATTTTCTCCCCAATTTAGTCGTCTCCAATTCCACCCGCTAGTTAGGACTCCCCCAATCACACGATGCTATCAACGCTAGGAGGGTGAAGGCTAACACAGGCTTCCTCCGAGACCTGTGAAACCAACCACCGCTTCTTTTCGAACTGCCGCTCACGCAACGTCACTGGACAGCCGAACGCGCTCGGAGGAAAGCGCCAACCGCCAGATCTGTTACGTCAGCTAACAGACGCCTGCGCTGACTAGCATCGCGCTGAGTGATGGGGGAAGAAGGAGGGGCCATCCCACCCACCCAGAGAGAGCGAGGCCAATTGTGCTCTCTCGGACTCCCGACTACGGACGGCTGTAGCATCACCAGGGATCGAACTCACGATCTCCTGATGATGGGGCCAACGCTTAGACGGTTGCGCCACTCGGGAGCCTATCAGAAGTGTCTTTAAACCAGAAAATCTCTAGAGGCTACTGTGGCACCACTGTAGGATGCAGTTACGCATGTTTACAGCAGAGAAAACTGTTGTTGCGTTTTCCATTTTGGCCAGAATGTCAGTAGTTAGATGTTGATGCTTGATTGAAGTTGTTATGCTAGATAACGTTTAAACTTATCCTTGTAGGTGTATCCAGAACTGCAGGTAATTTAAACTGAGGGATTGTCTTTCCTGCAGCTTAAGACAGTAGTAAGGTTTGCAGAATAATGTTCAGCCTTAAGGCCTCAGCAGACTTCTTGTGGAGACGACGTTCGCCTGGCTTCAGCGAACAATATCACAGAGAAAATAAATAGCTGCAGACGTCGTGCGGAGGCTTCGTTCGCCGTGTCGCGCACGTGGCAGCTGGGCGAACTCCGTGGACAAAGACGCTACGCGACAAAGCCTCTGATTGGTCGGTAAAAAAAGAGGCGTGCCATGAAACAAAGATGGACAACTTTGAGGAGCTTCAGCTTTGGCAGATACACTAATATTTCACTGTGAAACACACATTTGTTACATAAACAATATCTCCTAAATGTAAGATGTTAAGTCTGTTATTCAGTAGTACTAGCTAGTACTAAGCACCAACATATAGGTTATCTTATATTTAGATTCATAAGAGGACGAGGCTGAAGTTGGCTTTCTATTCTCCAGCTTCTTGTTCAAATTTTCCCGTTCCACCTTAAATGGTGGCAGCATTCTGAACTCAAACATCGCCATAGTTAGAACTGTGATAGAATTGTTTTCCAGCAGCCATGAAACTTATCATAAAATGTCATAACATCACATGGAGCATCCGCGTCAGGCAACACAAAACCGCAGAAAGTATGCGAGCTTGTAAGCTTGCGAAGGCGTTTTTGGCTTCGCACAAACTTCGAGAATTTAGTTTCACAAGAAGTACGCTGAGACCTTTAGCCAGTGCTTTACAGAGGCCAGCTACTACTTCAGAGGTCACTAATAGGCGGACCACGGTCCGAGTCTGGACCCTAACGCTGTCCTATGCGGACCTGGACCTATAACCAATAAACTATGGAGAATCATTTAATTTCAATGGGGTGGTCCTGTTTTAATCGGTGTAGCTTTTCTAGCCTTTGCGGTACCACTTTAATGGCCCGGGAGACTCACAGACCAATCACGTGTTGTCAATATCACTTGTGACGCTACTCAGCCAATCAGATCTGTGCATTATGATGAGCACTGAGACTCGAGTGAGTGAGGCACACACAGGGGAGGGACGAGGCGAGACACAGCAGTCAGAGAAGAAAGTGAGTCAGAGGGAAGTTATTTCACATGGCGTGATCTAAAAAGAGAAAACTGACAGTAAATGTTGTTGAAATATGACTGAACTGTACTTTATTTGATTTGATATTCAGTTGTTGACTATAAGATGTTGATATACCTACTAGGCTACTTCAGTAAACAGTATATGACACTGAATCATAATGCAACTTGGACATTATGATTTTCCAGACCTTTGCTTGAGGACATTTTCTCTACCTGGACCTTAATGAATTTAAATTAAAGACCCCTGGACTACATGATTGCTTATGATTAATCGTTTTGCCCCAAGCTCAGGCATTTAAACAGTCTCACATATGGTCATTTTTGGACACCATGTGCAGTTCTTTAGTGACCATTCCCACCTTGGAGTATCAAGAGTGCACCCATGTGGTTTGACATTGAACTGTATCACTGCATCCCTTTTTGGTGGCTTTTGAGATGATTTTAGAAAGTTGTGCACATTTCGCACTCCTACCTACTGGCACAGTTATACATAATCAGCGATTGTCCAGGTCACTGGCTGTTGATGAGTGGGTAATAATGAATCTTTCCTTGCCTCTACCCTGTTGCAGGACATGGCTGTAAATGTGTACTCCACCTCAGTGACCAGCGACAACCTGAGTCGCCATGATATGCTCGCATGGATCAATGAGTCACTACAGATGAACCTCACTAAGATTGAGTTGCTATGTTCAGGTAGGTAGAGAAACGTGTTGTGTAGTGCCATACACTGTTAGACATAAAGGTACTGAGATGAACCCATGAGGGAACCACCCCAGTGACAGTTTAGTACCTTTATTAATGAGAGTGTATGTAGTAGCACACCAAAGGGCCAGTTTCCTAGATCCAGATTAAGATAAGCCTAGACTGAAATGTATTCCCAGTGGTGGCTCACCATTGGCATTGTAGTTTAGTCTATGTCTAGGCTTAATCCAGACGTTTAGTCCAGTGCATGGTAGTATCGTATCACTGTACCTAGACATTTTCACTATACGCAGTATGTATCACAGTATTTTGACTCAATGCACTAGTAGTGTCACGTTTAACTGCTATCAGAAACTGGGTACAATGACTTCTCAAGATTTCACATACTGTGCGGAATTAAATCCTCCTGATGTATTACTGTGTTATGATTACGTTCTCTTTTTAATGAAACATGAACTTGATCAGTGTGCTTTAGATACTGATGATATCCGCAATGTATTGCCCACCTCTAGCATGTAATTGTCACGTATTTATATTGTTCCATTTTTGCCAGCTCAGCTGTTTTCTGTGAATAGATGCTAATTCATAATACAGGGAGATTCACTCAAAAGAGGACCCGAATATTCTGAAACAACGTGCAATGAGCTCCTCAGTATATGGAGCTTCGAACAAGCCGGGATGCCCCTGCGTAGGAGCAATGAGGTAGGCGCCGGACAACCGTCGCAACATTTAACCTCCATTTATGTGTCTGGCAGAAAACGGAGATCACTTGCAGCATCGCATGTAATGCAATCGATTACACATGTTAAGTTGTGTAGCGTATTTTTTTGGGTTCAGCTTGCTTCATCCTAACAGGAGTTACAGCAGAATATTAGGGGCCTCTTTCGAGTGAATCTCCCTGTATAAAGAACATCATTGTTTTTCATGTAAATATAAGTTTTGTATTGCTTAATTATTTTTGTTTGCCCTACAGGTGCGGCCTATTGCCAGTTCATGGACATGCTCTTTCCTGGCTGCGTGCCTTTGAAGAAAGTTAAATTTTCAGCGAAGTTAGAGCATGAATACATCCATAATTTTAAGATTTTGCAAGCTGCCTTCAAGAGAATGGGTGTTGACAAAGTGAGTTACTTCTGATGCTTACCCTCAACCTAATCGCTTTATTTTATGCATTTTTCACAAACTTCGAGGATCAAAAAATGTCATCATATTGATTATGAAGCAACAGTTCATAATACGTTCCACAAGACGTGTTTGTACTCACTGGTTTCTGATGTTTATACTGTAAAACACAGTGTATGTCTCTGTGCATAGGAATGATGCCAGCTATAGCTGTGCTCCAGCGTGCTAATTATGTTTACCTTCGAGGTAGCGTGTCTGCCAGATCACAAGCCAAACAGTCTCGAATTTGTTCCAAATATTTGGCAGTAGAGATGGAGACCAGTCAGGCTTCACAAGCCAAGTTCACACTGAACAGAGCTGGCTTTGATCGCTAGGTAGCCCATTCAGCGTGAGGGAGGTTTGTCAGTGTAGTTGTCAAGCTCTTTCTGAGAGGTCAGTTCAAGCATGGCTAGAAACAGTTTGGATTCTGGAAAAATGTTGATTTAATATCTTTTTTGTACAGAAAGTAAGCAGATCCCCTTTTGTTCTGTCTTCATTCATTTTTATTTTGTTCTGAAAATTGGTTACCTTTTTAATTTTATTTCTGATTTGCTTTATAATCTCTCCCTTGCCCTAGATCATCCCTGTTGACAAGTTGATAAAAGGCAAATTCCAGGACAACTTTGAATTCGTTCAGTGGTTTAAGAAGTTCTTCGATGCGAACTACGACGGAAAAGAGTACGACCCGGTGGAGGCGCGGCAGGGCCAGGACACCATGCCTGTGCCCAACGCTGCCATGCCTGCCCTCAGCAAGCCCAAGAAGATCATGAACGCAGGTTGGTTTTTGTGAATAAGTGTAGTACATCTCCTGCCATGTCAGGGCAGGTTCCTCCTGAGGTCCTCTCGCTAATACAAAATGAAGCGCAAGTTCAGTATTTTGATGGTTAGAGGTTTACATGCATTTTCACACAGTGTGAAATGAGAGCTTGTTCTTACAGAACTGATCTACCTTTGTATTCACCGGTGAGTAGTTTGCATATATTCTGCAGATGTAGTGATAATAGCCTGTGTTAATGTCCTTTTGACTTCACTCTTAGTTTATTCTGTAAGAATGCTAAAGCCCTGACTTTCAATGTTGCCACAGTCTGACTAATCACGTTTTACAGAAAATGTGATTTTATGAGAATTGACATAAAAACACAGTATACTTAAAAGATACAGACAGCTGTGTCTTTTCCCAAAGGAAATCTGCTGTGTTTTTCCACTTATTAGATTAATTTGATCAGCTGGGATGTTTTGGATTGGGTGAAGTAGCACGGTTACACTTTAACTTGAACACTGCTAAATAATAGACATAATCATGCCATAAATGTGTCATGGCTGATGTCTTCCCTTACAAAAAAACGTATACTTAAAAGTTCATTTTATTAAGTAAACTTAGGTAATGTTCGAGTATATTTCCCAAGTATACTTTATGTAGTAAGTATATTTATTTAAATGTTCTAGTAGTACAGTGTACTATATAAGTACTTTTTGGGACTAAATTGGCGAACCTTTTAGTTTATAAAAGTATATTTTTAAATGTTCTTTAGGTGTAAAAGTAGTAAACTTTGAGAACACAACTGGTTTACATTTAAGTTTTATTTTGTGCTTCAGCTATACTGTGAAATACACTTACAAGTAAATTTACATGTACAACCCCATTTCCAAAAAAGCTGGGACGCTGTGCAAAATGTAAACAAAATGCAATGATGTGCAAATCATTTAAAGCCTATAATTAATCGAAATAGTAATAGAATAATAGTAATAAAGACAACATATCAAATGTTGAAACAGAAATTTTATTGTTTTTTGAAAATATATGCCCATTTTGAATTTTATGTCAACATTACGTTCCAAAAAAAGTTGGGACGGGGGCAACAAAAGGCTGGTAAAGTTGTGTAATGCTACACCTGGTGGTTGATTGGCAACAGGTCAGTAACATGATTGGGTATAAAAGAGCATCTCAGAGAGGTGGAGTCTTTCAGAAGTAAAGATGAGGAGGGGTTCACCACTCTGTGAAAGACTGCGTGATCAAATAGTGCAACAATTCAAGAATAACGTTTCTCACTGTAAAATAGCAAAGAACTTTTGTTTTTCATCATCTACGGTACAGAATATCATTAAAAGATTCAGAGACCTGGAGAAATCTCTGTATGTAAGAGACATGGGCGAAAACCAGTATTTGCTGGCGGTGATCTTTGGGCCCTCAGGCAGCACTGCATTAAAAACAGACATGATTCTGTAGTGGAAATCACTGCATGGGCTCAGAAACACTTCTGAAAACCACTGTCTGTGAAAACAGTTCATCACTGCATCCACAAATGCAAGTTAAAACTCTAAAACGCAAAGAAGAAATCATATATAAACAGGATCCAGAAACACCGCCACCTTCTCTGGGCCCGAGCTCATTTAAAATGGACTGAGGTGAAGTGGAACAGTGTCCTGTGACAAATCAACATTTGAAATTCTTTTTGGAAATCAAGTCCACTCAGCTTGTTATCAGTGCACAGTTCAAAAGCCAGTATTCATGATGGTATAGGGGGCATTAGTGCACATGGGCTGGGTGACATGCACATCTGTGAAGGCACCATTAATGCTGGATGATATATACATGTTTTGGCAACATATGCTGCCATCCAGACCACATCTTTTTCAGGGAAGGCCTTGATTATTTCAGCAAGACAATGTCAAACCACATTCTGCATGCATTACAACAGCATTGCTCCGTATTAAGAGTCTGGGTGCTAAACTGACCCGCCTGCTGTCCAGACCTGTCACCACTGAAAACATCTGGCGCATTATGAAATAAAGAAAATACAACAAATGAGCCCCCGAACTGTTGAGCAGCTGAAATCCTGTATCAAACAAGAACGAGAAAACATTTCACTCTCAAAACTACAGCAGTGTCTCCTCAGTTCCCAAACGCTTACAGAGTGATGTTAAAGAAGAGGTGATGAAACAGTGGTAAACAGGCCCCCGTCCCAACTTTTTTGGAATGTATTGTTGACATCAAATTCAAAATGGGCAAATATTTTTCAAAAAACAAAACAAATTCTCAGTTTCAACGTTTATGTTGTCTTATTGGTATTGTCCTTTAAAAATATGGTTTACATGATTTGCATATCATTGCATCCTATTTTTATTTACGTTCTGCACAGCGTCCCAAGTTTTTTTGAAATGGGGTTGCACTTGTTTTATACCTCTAGCCCACTTTTTAGTTTATAAAGGTATATTTTATATGTTTTATATTTATATCTTAGAGGTATAATTACAAATACAGGCCACAAGTATATACAAGTATATGAATAAGTACATACAAATATATGTATACAAGTATATGTATAAGTACAAGTGTAAGCTTAGTATACTTGAACTATATTTAGTTTAAAAGAAGTATACTAATAGCACACTTGAATAAACTTCTTTTTTGTAAGGGTTATGCTGTCACACGGTGTCCAGTAATATAATAGCATCAATTAAATTGTCATGACAGGTGTCATAATGTTTAATATCAAACAGAACGGCATCTGTCATGGCAGTTACCAGTAATCCGTCTACCATCTCGTGACATTACATGACATCTGCCTTGACATGTTCATTTTTGTGTAGCAGGGTTCAAGTAAAGTGATATCAATATCCCTATCAGACAGAAATATCATAATGTGAGCGTTTGTTCAGTGGAGGCTCACTGTCTATCACATGGGTTGTGGTGCTGTGTGGTATCAAATTCTTAAGATGAACCGAATTGTTCTGTCTCACTTTGTCTTGCATCGCCACTTGGTTTTTCTTCTTTTCACATCAACAAATTTGGACCTCGTCCCCTGTAGCTGGTAAAAGCCAGATCTGCTTAATCAGAGACCTGAACTTTGACTGGAATCATTTAAAAAAAAGTACAGCATGCAATATTAATAACTAGACAGACTGTTTGCATTTATAAATACTGAAAAGGCGAATTATTAAGGGAATCTATTTATAGCACCAGTAGAAATTGTTTGCATATGCATTCATGTTTTAAACATGTCTGTTGTATTTTTGTGTGCATTTAGAAGGCAAGAAAATTTGAATGTAAATTTTAATTTTACAGTGTAAAAAGTATCTTTCAGATGTTCTGGTATGTTACCATATTAACCTTTTGTCAGCAGTAATCTGGTAAGGACCCATTCTTCCTATAAATGTAAGTGGCAGTAGTGCCAGCTTTGGGGTGCTTTGGTCATTAGCTTCCCAAAACTAAAGTCTAATTAAAAGAAAGAGGTACTAAAAGGCTGCACTGGTTAAATTTCATAGAACAGCTCAGACAGAAGGGATTTTTGGTGTAACAGCTGCAGGGACAGCTATGGCAGTGAGGGGAAAAAATATGTTGTATGTCCATAGCCGGGCGTGTTGGTCTGCAAAATAAAAACTTCAGTCTAATATAGTTCAGTACAGCAGCAAAGACACCTGGCTAATTTGATTGACTGTCCCCTTTTCCCTGCTGGGTCATCTGATCATAATGCGAGATAGAGAGGTAATTTTAAGTACAGGGCGATTCAAAAAGATTCATCGGATTAAAAAATGATTTATTTCACTTGTAAATCATTACAGATCAGTGCAGTGAACTGTAAATGGTTTAAATGAGCATAAAGTTTATTATGTAATTGTAGAAGGTCTCAGTCTGAACCTCCTCCAGCTGTACAGACAACATCAACACCATAGTCAAACTCATCCCATACTGGATTGAGCGTGTCGGGTGTCGCTGCACTCACGGCTCTTTCAGTGCGATTTCGGAGATCATCCAGTGTTGTGGAACCAGCGACGAACGCTCTGAGCTGTTGGAGCTTCACTGCCCACGAAAATCACACTGCACAGTTATGACGGATTCACTCTTATTGAAGTGGAGAACGCAGAACGCTTTCTGCTCAGGGGTCTCATCTCCTCTCAGACTGAAGGGAGCCGTCTTCCACTGACAGTCAGAAACTCTATGACCCCCTCTTTCAATTGGATTGTGATTGGTTCCTCGGTGCCTCACATTTGTAAAAATATGGTGGTTTGAAATCGGATGAATCTTTTTGAATCACCCTGTAGTTTGTAGTTAATTATAGAAAGTAATAACAAAAGATGGATGCTGAATAGTTTGAATTGTTTCATTTGTTGCTTGGTGAGTTTATACTACTAACGCAGTGACATTAATGATTTTTTTCTGTGGTTGCCATAGCCGTGCCTGATCCTGTCAGAACTTCCTTTTGTAGCAGTCGACAGTGACCAGAAGGGTTTTTATTAGAGAGATTAGATGGTTTTAGGTCAGTTTATCATTTAAAACAAGCTACTAGCCGAAGCTCATAATCCCTGAATGTGAGAAGAAAATGACAAAGTATCTAGGCTATAAAATGTACAAAACCTGCAGGACCTTCTGAAGATTTAAAGAAATTGGCAATCATGATATCCAAGCAGGGTCAAAGGTGACCTAATTTGATCTGTGAAATGATGGCTCCTGCCGTCATGCATGGGAGAGTCTCATGGGCTGAGATTGCATTGCTGCTGACAGAGTGAATGATTTTTATTAGGGATGCACTGAAATTAAATTTTTGGCCGAAACTGAACAAAATGAAACATTTTCATTCATATATATTATACTGGTTTTTCACAGTTTTTGTTTAATTAATTTTGCCACTTTTTTCACCATTGCATAAATTAAATAGGCTAAATGTATCTTGTCTTGGTTTTCAAAGAAAAAACAATTACTAAACTGAAATATAAAAAAAAGAACAGCGGCTCTGTTCTTTTCTTTACTCTTTCTGGAGTTACATTTGGCTCAAATGCTTGAAACTGTATAAAAGCTGGGAAAGTTCAGCTCTGGTGTGACTTGCTGTGTAAATATAACGCGTTAAAGTGGGTTTTAGTCTAGAACAGTTGGCTCTAGCCCTGGAGCTGAGGAAATATAATTAGTGCATCCCTAATTTTTATCAAGCCCATAAAGGTTTCTGGTAGCATGGCTATCACTGCATGCTCATAAACATGTCTTTGCATTGAGATTACAGTTACAAAGTAGAGTAATCAGTTGATTATTGAGCAAAATAACAGCCTAAAACTAATCTGCATAAGAACAGTCTGATGAAGGAAGAAATCAAAGGACAGCTTGCTACTGACTTGACGTGCTGTTTCCAGACATCAGTCACGTAGAACGTGAATAGACAAAAAGAATAAAGGCAAAGCAGCCCATAGTCTGAGGATTTCTGAAGAACTAAGAAGACATGTCTGGTCATCAGATACTGAAGCTTGTTAACTGAATGCTTTCTGTTGTGAAGTTAGTATAATCTGTTTTGAGGAATCCAAGATATTTTTCTATTATCTTTCTATTTTTCATTTTTTTAAACATTAGTTTCATAATAATTATATGGGAAAAAAAGGTTTGCAGGTTTACCGAAAGAGTTTATTGGTGCTGTATAATAAGATGATGTGAGACATTGTTCTGCAATTTGGTGCCCTTTTTTAGTTATGAAACCTAATCGTCCTTTGAGGCCCCCCCCCCACCAAAGTCATGACAGTTTCCTGTAAATTGTATTGCTAACAACAATGAAGAACAGGGCCCAGGTGTGTTGTCACAATATCACATATGTTTTGTGTTCTCACCTGCATTGTTTATACTGAACGTAGTCCTTGTGAAAGGACTGGATAATGTTTACTATGTTGGAGTCTTTTGCTGGGTTAGAAAAAGCAGTGTTCACAAATCCAATGCAGATCTGGGTGTTTTCACATATAGTTCTTTTCAAATAAACCAAACTGAGTTCTGGTAAAGTGAACCTGGAAGGAAACCAACTGCAAATGACATCAGTTCTTTTTATGTTCACAGTGTAAGTGAACTGTAAAGAGGACTCAGTTTTCTTTCTGGTCCTTTTTAGCAATGATGAGATCTTAGACCACAACTCCATTAGAGCTCAGACCCCTTTCACAGCACTCACGGTGGGCGCAGCGCTCGCAAAGTGGGAGGTGTTCTGTGATAAATCTAATGATTCAGGTGGCAAGAGAAGCTACTATCATGCAAAACTGGAAAAATGACCCTGTGTGCTGCGGTGGGTTCTGTTTTCAGCTGTGCTCCTCACTGAGCTCCACCCAGCAAAAATCTACATCTGTAATGAAACCGTGTACTTGAAAGGCTACATTCCCATTACCAGGCTGAAGTGGCACAAATCCGATTTTTTGCTCTAATGTGACTCAGATCTGATGTTTTCAGAGCTGTGTGGACACAAATCTGATCTTTTCAAATCCGACCTGAGCCACTTTCATATGTGGTCCTAGATCAGATACGTCTCTGATTCGTGGCCATGTGACCTTAATGTGACACTCAGATCGGCATTCATGTGCTTTTTTTCCACTGCCCTGCTCCATCATTCAGCGTTACCATGGCAGCAGTGCCGAACAGAAGTTAAAGCCTGTAAACGGTGGAAAAGCAGCTCATCTCACCTTTTTCTCCTTCGTCTCGCTCTAATAATGAAGCTGAGAGCTGATCAGAGTTAATTATCTTCTCAGCGAAGCTCGTTCTGCTCGTTAGTTTGTGCTGATGATGAACGTGATTCATTCACGTGACGTTACTGAGTAGGATGAGCTCATGTGGGTCATTTCAGGACGCCGGTTCGTCACATTAACGACAGATTTGAATCACTTACCTAAACGAGTGTGAACCAACATGTCAGAGAGATCGGATTTGAGCAATGAGGTTTGTAATGTGAGCGTAGCTAACGTAGCTTCATTCAGCGTTCAGTGTGAAAGCAGCTAAAACTCATTTACAGCATGAGACTTTAACATGGTAAAATCACACAGGCTCTCGCATATTATCGCGTTCACTCGGCTGCTGCTTGTCGCAGATCACAGACAGGCTTTATCCTGAGTAGAACCTTATGAATGACGCTTGCTGGTCTGTTTTTACCTGCTGAAGTGCTGGAAGACCTTGAGGTCTTCACCGTAAAGCAAAAGCGGACTAGGGCCATTTTTTCACAATGCACAAATCAGTCAAACCACTAAACGAACTGCGACGAAGCGAACTGAGACCACCTTGAGAGTTGGGTTTATTTTTGGGGCTGTTTAGAGGGGTCTGAGTTCATTTGCCGTGTTCCCATATGCCCAGAGTCTACTTCAGACACTGGAACTGTCCAAGTGTGAAAACGCCTCTGATCTGTCACTTGAAGTGTAAAAGCGTCTAGCCTCTACTGTTGAAGGTTTTTAAGTAAGCTACATTCCTGCTTTTTCCAGAGGAATTTTAACTCTTGTTTTTCCACTTGTCAAGTTATTGTTGCCTTGTTCGTTTCAGCACCGCCGAGGGCTGCTGTTGCTAAAGTAACGCCCAAGGTGGCACCCAGTTCTGCGCGGAGGCCAGGTGCCAGCGGAGATGACGAGAGGGCCGAGCTTATCCAAGAGGTGCTTTTACTCGCATGTAGTTTTGCTGAGCTCTGCTCCATAATCACTTTAGTAGAAGAGAGACTGAAGAGAAATAATTTTACATACTTAATATCCTTTTCATTCCTTCCACAGATAAATATACTGAAGTCTACAATCCAGGACATGGAGAAGGAGCGAGACTTTTACTTCGGCAAACTTAGGAACATTGAGTTGATCTGTCAGGAGAAGGAGAGCGAGGGAGATCCCACCTTGCAGAGGATTGTGGATATTCTCTATGCTACAGATGTGAGTTCAATGCAGAGTCAGATACTAATGCGTTCACAGCTGTGTTTCTGTGCATTCTGAGTTTTAAGTTAGATATGTAATAAATGGCCAGGTTTAACCATACACATCAAAATTGCCATGAGTCCAAACATTTCTTACAAAAAGAGATTTTTAGATTAGATTAAGTGACCCTTATTAGTCTTACAACGGGGAAATTTCACCTCTGCAGTCTAACCCATCCGTGCAGTCAAACACCACACGCACACTAGGGGGCAGTGAGCACACTTGCCCGGAGCGGTGGGCAGCCCTATCCACAGCGCCCAGGGAGCATTTGGGTGTTAGGTGCCTTGTTCAAGGGCAGCTCAGTCATGTACTGTGAGCCCAGGGGATCGAACCGGCGACTTTCTGGTCACAAGGCTGGTTCCCTAATCTCCAGCCCCTGACTGCCCCAGTTTTATTGGTTGTAGTTAACATCGTCCACATTTTGACCAGTTCAGTGATGTTGTGGGTTGGACATTTAGCCAGGCAGAAGTATGGTATGGTTGGTAGGGATGGCATCCAAATAGCGTTTTACAGGCTTCGAATACTGACTGATATTTCTCTACAATCTGAATATTGAATATCTGAATATTCATTCTCAAACCTTAAAAACAGAAACATTGGGCTAAGCGTTGACCCCATCATCAGGAGCACAATTGGCCTCGCTCTCTGGGTAGGTAGGATGCCCCCCCTTCTCCCCCCGTCATTCATATTGCCAAATAAAACAGCAAGATGGCTGCGCGAGCGACCAAAGAAACCCACAAATATTTTGAGTATTTTGTCTGTTAACAATTTCAATAATCATTATATTGTCTTAGTTTAATGTCGTTTAAATGTATTAAGGTAATTTTCTTCATAAAAAGCATAAAAATCGCTTGTAATATGCTAATGTCCCGGTAGCTAGCTAGCTAAACTACCCGTTCCACCTTAAATGGAGCAGAAGTTACATTCTGCCGCCTCAGGTGTCAGAACTGCTGCACCATTTAAGGTGGAACGGGAAGATTCGAACAAGAAGCTGGAGAATATCTGGCTTCAGCTTCATATCACTGAGGAATTAGGGGTGGGTGATAATAAATAATTGCCCCCCTCTTTGAAGATCATATGATGCCCTAAATGTAACTAAAGCCCAGCAGTGAGGAGCTGAACTTTACCCTCCTCTGCTGTCACTGCAGACTGGCAGGGTCGCCTACAGAGCAGCGCTGGTAGCTGTTAATGAAGTGATGCTCTTTTTATTTGAGGGTCCCATTTCAGAGGGAAGATTTCAACACTATCCCTTAACTCAGTTCCAAGGGGCAACACTCAAAAACAAGGGGTAGGGGTAAAAATAAGAAATGGGATTAGGCCTCTGTATTAATGCCGTTGATTTGAAAAAGAAATGTTGTGACCAGTTGTTTGCAAACTTTTGTATAGGATGTTAATTGACAAAGAATGTTGTACCTGTATTTAACAGATGGTTGTCATGTATTTTTGTGTCCAGCAAGTTCAACTCAGATTGGAATGACCCTTAAACTGGCATTCCAATCCATAGAATCGTGCCTTACGTGTCACTGAGCAATCAGGATGTGGTTTGGGAAAAGAAGCTGCTTTGCCTTACTTTTATTTTTCTGTGTGTCTCGTTCCTTTAGGAGGGCTTCGTCATACCAGACGCCGAATCAGAGGACCAGGAGGAGTTTTAATGCCCTCGGCTAGATCCAATCCTCGATCGTCTCCTTCCTCATCACTCCCTCTACACATTCACTTCCTCACACTGTTTCTGAAACACCTCCCAGATCACATTATGCATTTAGACTCTGAGTGAAGCTTGTATGGAAATTCCTTTCAACTGCGTACAGAGTTAAAGTAGTTAAGTTTGAAGTCTGGCGACCCTTTAGCCTCTGAGAAGGGCAAGACGGCTGCTGAGCTGACCTTGTTTGGCTCAGAGGAGAGAGAGCTTTTCATCAAGATTCAGCATGGTGTTCAAATTTTGATCCTGCTGTTCCTGCAACTTCAGTGGAACCTGCAAATTTATCCGTTGTATTAAATATTGTCTTTGTTTTTTGACACTGTTTCTTTTTGCCACTGTTGGAATAGAGAGGATGTTGTCACCTCTTTTCCTTGACGAGTAGGGTGGCATGTGCTTCACACTAATGCTATGCTAATCATGTTTTACCCAATTAAGAGTTGTTTTTTTTTTTTTTTTAATCTTCACAAAATCTTAGTTCTTACTCAGGATTCAGAAGTGAATCTGTGAACAACTGTTTTGTTTTTTTTAAAACCAACCCTGCAAAATGAGCATCGTCCATCTTTTTCCCCCTTTGATTTTTAAACCTTAGCGATCGTTTTATTGAAAGGCTAGTAGCAGTCACCTCTTCTCTTTGAACCTGTGACTGTGCCTTACAGACAGAGCAGAAGGAGATCCAGTCGGTCGTCTGCCTGGTTCGTCTTTGTCTGTCTTGTGGATGTAGAAAAACTTTGCTTGTGGTCCAGTAAGTCACTTATGCAGTAAGAAGGTCAGTTAATTCACTACCGTTCCAAATCTGCTCCAAACTGCAGTGATTGTAATCAATAAGTCAGACTTCGCTGACCTGTCTTGTGGATGGTCTCTTGGGATACTCACGTTACTGAGACGTTGAAAGCACAGTTGCAAAGCATCCTTGATGACCCTTTTTTTATAATTGTTTTATAAAGAGTAAACCAACCTTAAAGCATCGCCCCTGTGGCGATGGGTTCTGAAGGCCAAAATACTGCCCGTTTCTGCACTTTCAGTGCAAAGATTGATGTCTTCTTCTTTTTTACTGCCTTATATTTAATGCATCTATTTTTTTTTAAACCCTCTCACATTTTTTCGTTTCTTTGATAGAACTCTTTATATTTGTTCTGTGTTGGGAAATGTTGAATTCAAATTAAAGAGATGTTCAAACATTTCTCCTTTTTTCATTGCTTTGGCTTCAAAAATAGCCACTCTTAGAAGCTGTTCTAGGTACAGACCTCGCATCTTCCTTTTGTTTTTTTTTTTTTGGAAATTTTACTCAAAGCTAGTTCAGGAGCCGTGGGTGCTGGGCACTGCTTGTTTTCATGCACCCTTAGTAGTATCAACCTTGAGCCAAATAGAAATATTACTTGCTTAATACTTGTGGTAAATCTAGAAAAACATCCTGTGCCAGTTTTGTAATTGAGTTTTGGAATCTGGGTTGTGTTAAATCCATTTCATTCTCCATTTCTGTTGTTTTATCCAGAGGCTACATTCCAATTGGATAAAAAAAATTGGATTAAAAACAAAAAAACATAAAAAATGGTGTCCTGAAACTATTGCTGGTGTGAATGTTTTTATTTTCCCCACCATCAAATGTCTGTCTTCTGCTTCTGAAATGTTTCATTGCCTTGTTAGATGGGTGATTGATCATGCTTTATTAATTAATTTATGGTCAGTTGTGTGGAATGTGACTTTGGAATTCAGAGACTGTCCTGATGATTTTGGATCACTGTGCCATTTTTCTGTCTTGTTTTCCCTCCACTATCTCATGTAGCAGCAATATCATATCATATCAGCACTTGTGTTTTCTGGTTATTCAGATAACATCAGATTCAAACATCCCAACCTTTTTTTTTGAAGTGTAGAATCTCTATTGCTGTGTAGTTTTTGGGTCCAGCCTAGTTTGTCTGTGCAAAACCAATAACTGAAGCCTTAATTGGTGCTTTTAAAACATACCTTGACTGATTCCTTTGCAACAGTGGATAAACATTTGCATTAGATAAGTTTTCATTAACCTGCGGTGACTTGTGACAAAAGCGATGTAGCATAGAGATCATGGTTAAGATTCTCTTAACAGTACAGCGTTTTTTGCGAACCATGTTTCATAACGTTGCAATTAAGGGGCTTCGAAAGTGAGACCATTCATTGCGCTCCAAGTAAGAGTGTGGAATCATGGAAGTAGCAATCAAATGCAAATAAAAAAAGTTATTGAACATTACACATCATTGACCCGATGCTGATTTCGCCTTGACCTGGTTTTCTCTTTCTTGTGGTGAATTGCTCTTTACGACGATGATTAAAGCTGTAGAGTAGAATGAGGTTTAGTTCAAGACTGGAATTGGTCAATACAATATGCAGTGGTGCTTCTTTCCGAGTTTTTATCAGTTTGCTCTCCAGTGGCCTTCCAGAACAATCTAGAGATGGATTTTACACTGTGGGCCCTGTGCCACTTACATACTTTCTCTCCATCTCTATTTTTTGTTTTTTCGTTTTTCCTCTCCGTCACAGACGGTCTCTGTCCTCGTTTTTGTACTTGCAGGGTGTGTGGTTTTCTCCTTTTTTAATTGTATTTGCCAGGGTCAGTTTCTTACAAATAAAACAGTATTACATGTGTTTACTGCTAATGATGGTCTGTTATTTCCTTCGTTAATTTGTCCTTGGTTTTATAAGCAGGAGTTCACTTTTAATTTTTGCTCTAGGATTTTGATTTGTACGGAGCCCCTCTGGTGACATGCCGTATAAATAAAAATAACGTGTGGCCACAACATTCCTACGCCTACTAAGTCGTGGCCACAACTTAAATATTCCGGTGCCTTACTTAGTTCTTGTTCCCGTGAGTTAATACGCTGTGCACTATTTTTATTTATACGGGGTGTCAACAGCAGGGCTCCGTAGATTTGATATTAATTTAATTCATTCTTTCCCGTTCCTGCCTTGTAGTCGTCCCTCCCCCTATGTTCCCTTGGCCCTTTAATTGAGTGAAATTCAATTGCCTTTGTTGCTTTGCACAGACAATTAGCAATTTAGCTAACTGAAGCTAACGTAGCCGAGGGCCAAAAAAGTCTGTGCTGTTTTGATTCATGTATGACCTGTAGTTTCCTTAGGACCCCAACCATGACCTTATGAGACCCTTCATAGGTCTGCTTGATGAATCATTGAGGTTTGAGATTTTATATAAAAGGCTAATGGCGTGTTTAGCCTTGGGAACATAAGGTACACTCCCCTGTAGTCCACCTGTGTTTTGGATTTCAATGCTCTAACAAACCTGATTCAGCTCAAGAAGGACTTGTTCATTAGCCAATGAGTGTTTTAATGTAGTTTGTTTTTCTTTAAGCAATAGAACACGAGAGCTTTGGTGTTGGGAGATTTAGTGTCGTCTCATCTTCAGAGTCTGACCAAATCGGCTGTAGGTCAGATTTAAAAGTGTCCATTTTCTGCTTGTGCACAGAGTGAAGTAAAAACGTTCAAATGGCTTGAGCCAAATTATAGTTCCTTAACGAGCAGCTTGTTGCTACGTCAGAGTAACGAGCTCCGCCCACTCGCTGCACAGCCGGCAGTTTGTTCTCCAGCTCCTTACACTAAATTCCCAAACTGTCATCACCACTGAGCAGCTTTTCAGTCAGCAGCTGTGACAGAAGAACAGCTAAACAACCTGGAATCAGCCAGAAATGAACCCAATACCATTCGCCAAACGTGTAGTCTGATCTTCAGAGTCTGACCAAATCGGCTGTCGGTCAAATGTGATCTTAAAAGTGTCCATTTTCTGTTTGTGGCAAAGTAAGAAGTAAAAACGTTCAAATGGCTTGAGCGTCTCCTACAGCTGTCAAAGTGGTTGCTTAGCAACGGTGTCTCAGCGGAGTGATACAGTGTTTGATACCTAGATACCGCCTTGTGTCCAGCCAGGCACGTCAACGGCGCCGCCATTTTGGGGCGGTCAACATCGCTGCTAGACTGCATTCAGTACCATTACAGAGCAGCAGTTTAAGGAACATACTGTCTAAAATTACATTTTTTCAAAAATATTACACTCAGAAAGAGGGACAGGATTATATAACGGATGGAACTCAGCGATCCACGCTAATGTTTGTGTGATGTGTATTGATTGTGTGATGTGTAGATATGGCCGTGTGGTTGGTGAGACACAGAGAACCTGTTGATGTCATTGTTTTTCCATAGTTTCATATTAAGATTATTTAATTTCATAGTCTATTTACCACCTTAAATTGTGCATCAGCCAGCTTCTTGTTCGAATTTTCCCATTCCATCTTAAATGGTGCAGCTTCAGGCACCAGAAAGTGACTGCTGCACCATTTAAGATGGAATGGGAAAATTCAAACTAGAAGCTGGCGAATAGGAAGCCAACTTTAGCTTGGTTCTTCTTACTGTGTTTTGTGTTTTAATGTGTATTAAGATTAGAAGTGATTCACTCATTGATGGATTTGCTGATGTGTGAGGTTATGTTTCTACTCGCGCTAAACTCGGTTTTTAACGTCAGGAGCTAATTATAACGATTATAACGGTCAGTTATTTAAGTAATAAAAGCTGCCGAGAGCAGATCCGTGCAGCCTGGATTAATCTGTGTCTGAGGATTATAACTAAACAGATTTGGTGAAAATCAGTTGAGTAATAAGGAAGTTGAGGCTGATTTAATCCTGAGACTCTTCGTCTCTCAGTACAAGTGAATCTGTTCACAAGCGGATCTTGACCGCTCCAACATGGCGGACGCGCAGACGTATCGCCTCAGATAGAGAATAACGGACAACGCGGCATCCAGGTGTGTGTATCTATGGTTAGAACGCTTCTCAACCAATCAGCTTGCGTGGCTGGAACTAACTGTTGTATAAGACATCATAAAGAATCAAACACGCTCTTATAGACCGCTGTAGTCGTGTCGTCATTCTGTAGTCGCTGTGCTCTTATGCACTTAGGAACTCCGGGTCTGAGCTCCATTTCTCTATGCCCAGAATGAATACGGTTTTCGAAAAATCGCCTCTAGCGCCCCCTGTGTTAAATAAACATGTTCAGAACCCGATCCGTTCTGTCCTGTGAACATTCTTCTCTCGAACACCACTGGATCCTCTGAATTACGAGGTCGTAAAGAGTTGAAATATGAATATTGCTACATGTGAGCTAAAGCTACTGCGCTCTGAATTCACGTCATTAGACTGGCGGCCTCCTTAATCAGGCTTTGTCGGTGTACATTTCCATGTTCAGACTGAGGGCAGCTGAAAAGAAGTCAGAACAAAATCAGTTCTCTGTTCTTCACCTGATTCTCACTGAAACACCACAGATCTCTCCTTTTAGCTTGATTTGAAAAGATCTACAAACGAACCTGAACTCGGGCTGATCCAGTACAGACTCAGCTTAATATCACTGCTCACCCTGATAAACTGATTTAGGCTCTCAGAATATCCTCATTATTATTTTAATACTGGGAACATTTTTCTGAGGACATTCGCCAGCTTTTTGTTTGACTTTTCGCGTTCTGAACTGCTGCGCCATTTAAGGTGGAACGGGAAAATTCAAACAAGCAGCCGGAGAAAAAGAAGCTGACTCAGCTTCATGGAGGGTTGAAAGGCCTGATATGAGGAGGTTTCACTATTAACGCTTAACAGAGTAACACTAACTTATTTTTGCTGTTTCACAGAACCGACAGGTCAGTCTTTTGTCTCGTTTGCTGATGTTTGTGACAGCCAGTCACAGCTGCTACACCATTTAAGGTGGAACGGGAGCATTCAATCAAGAAGCTGCGAGAAAAGAAGCTAAATTCAGCCCCGTAGTTTAACACGGGGAGTATTTTTGATAGGGAGTTTTAGCCTCAAAATATCCCACCCAGAGGTTTATTTACAGGTAAACCTATAATTATGCGCTACAGTAGAACATTTCGATAAGGTAGCACAGCTGGTCAGAGCAGCGCCACAGCCCGCCTTAGTTTAGTGTAGCTTAGTGACGTCAAATTGATGCGCAGTAGCTTTAGCTCGCATGTAGCAATATTAGCATTATAGCTCTTTAACAGCCTCGTAATTCAGAGGATCCAGTGGTGTTCGAGAGAAGAATGTTCACATGACAAACCGGATCGGGTTCTGAACATGTTTATTTAACACAGGGGGCGCTAGAGGCTATTTTTCGAAAACCCTATTCATTCTAGCCCATAGAGACATGGAGCTCAGACCCGGAGCTCCTAATATGGGCATAACGAGGACTACAGAATGACGCACTACAGTGGTCTATAGGCGACCACAGCACACAACTATCACAGGAGGCGGCTCTGTACGAGTGTGAGTAGCGCTAACTTCACACAAACAAACAAAAAAACCCACACGCTTTGTGTATAACAGCAAATATGATGGAATTATGTTGAACTACCAGCCCAGTATATCTGTCATTTACAGTTTTGGCAAGATGAAGTGCGTAATGTGTTTTTCCAAAACGTTACCAGTGTTTATGTTGAGGTATTATTTCTAAGTACGTTGATTTAAATTAATATGTTGGCTTGTAAATCGGCCTGTAACTGTCTGGTGATTACGCAGAGTATCAGACAAAATTCCACTTATCTTCGCTCATTTTCCACTCACAGTCCAATTTACTGATTTTTCCTTCCTCCCTTTCTTTATTTATACTTTGTAAATTAGTTTAGTAAATAATTATAATCCAGCTCAGGGTCAGCAGCAACGTTTTCTATAAAATCATTTTATATCAGGCCTAGTCATGATTTTGTTCTCTTAGTTGTTCATAATATTTGTCTTTGTTCATTTTCTGAAATAAAAGTCTCTGTGCATCTAAAATCTGTTTGAGGAGATTAAAAACTAGTTAGAGCTTGTATGCAGGACAGTAATCTGGGTGGTGCCTCAGGCACCATTGAAGGTGGAACGGGAAAATTTGAATGAGAAGCGACTTCAGCCTTATAAAAAGTTGAACATTGAGAGACATTTTACAAGAAACTGTTCTACTTTTGAGGAGAAGTTTCCTGCTGGAGATGCGAGAAAAGTGGCTATAGCTGAGCCGAAGCTTAAAGCAGAGCAAAGTAAGTCTGTATTTTCGTTGAGATTAAATTTGTTAGCCTATACTGGAACATCAGCACACACTGAAACAGATTTACAGCCAAGATGGTAAAATGGACATAAAACGTTGTGGCTCCCAAGGTGGTTTAATTTGTATCGAAAGAACAAAATGGCTCTTCATAACATTTGGGTCGTGACTCCTGGTTTATCTTTATCATAATTGATTTTACACTGGTTTGCGACTCCTCGTGGAGTCCTATTCTACTGTTGTCCATTGCCCCAGTACCCTGAGTTGCCTTTAGCTTTACTGTACACTTACAGATGGTACAGAAAGACTCACCCTAAATCTAAAGAATCTGTGTTTTTATTATAGCTCTGTATTTTTAATGTCTGGAATCCCTGTTTCTTTCTTTCCATCTCTCTTTTTCACAGGGCTGGATATGGAGGAGTTCAAGGAGGCCATGAAGAAGATCATTGGAGATGCTGAGGATGAGGACCTCGGGCCATATTACAGAAAATTCTTAAGTCTGAGATCATATCTGCTTTATTGTCGTGGTAACTTTCTCTAAGCCTGAAGTTCGGACAGAAGCCATTACAGAACAACAGTCCTTA